AATTTAACAGCTTGCTATGCCAAGTGTTGTTAACATCTAGATATTAGACAGGCAAACTGACCCTCTACAGATGTTTGGGACTCACAATGTCCATTAGTCCCTCCCAGCATGGCAAATGAAAGAGACTGTGGAAATTGCAGTTTGATTATCTAGAATATTCCAGGTGGCCAACTGCTGACATACTGAAAATAGAAGTCAAACTGACAGATTTTGTAAAGCCATCTGGTTAATTCATAGAAGAGAGTTTATATGGCATGTGCGTACATGCGTGTGAATTGCAAAATGCCTTTGCATATACATTTTTGTTTCTAAACATTTGTTCTTGGTTTCTATGGACATTTTGGTTTCTATTAACAAATTAGCTATTCTGTTGCAAGCGATCTGAATCAGAGCTAGGAAATCTTCTGTTCAGAAATCTGTCTCTTACAATGTGAGTATATTGTGAATGTATGATAGAAGAGCCAAGACAAAACAAAACACATTAACAATATATTTTAATCTTTTTGTCCTTAGACCAGAATTCAAACACTGTAAAGGAAATGCAATGTTTATATAAAATTAAATAGCAATAGTTGAAAAATAAATACATATCATTAACATAAATACATAAAGAAATCCATTCTACCGAAAAGCTTCAGCCAATAGTATACTCTTGGTTCAAAAATCTCCCCTAATAATAACAACAACAATAATAATAGTATCATAACATCATCATCATAGGAAGCAACCCTCCATCTGTTACAGATGAAGTATAAAGATCTACAGCAGAAATGTATTAATAAATGTCAGAGCTAAAAGAAATTGTAATTCAAAACTAAAATACTCCATTGCTATATTAGTACTGTATGATATCAAAACGAGGTAGACAAGCATATGAAACAACAAGCTTATTTTCTTGGAGAAGGTTTGTTTTGGTCAGCACCATTAGTGTTTTCATTCTGGAGAAATCTAACATGCTTAAACTTTTGTGGATTTTATATTTTTTAAAATAGTGATACATTTGGGTTAGCATACAGAGATATGGCTCAGTCCTGCAGATATTTTCGGTGTGTGTGTGCGTATATGTGTGTGGGATATTCACATACGAGGATTGCTGCAATTTTAATGAAGGCCTTTCATAAGACTCTTCCCTGAAGAACCAAAAGCAGTTCATATAAGAGAAACGTGCAAAGATACAGTATCTTAGCGCAGGATTAATAATAATTGAAAGATATGTTAAGCAGCAAGAACTGAACTAAAATAGGGTTATTTCAGTTCTGCTATCATTTGCCTTTTCAGCATCAAACCTTAGATAGAGGCAAGTAGGAGAATGGAATCATGCAATTAATATACTTCCTTATCACCTTCTGTTTCAGAATCTCAATATTCAGAATATTTAAGTACGTTAGGCCCATTTCTTTAGGTTTCGGTTTTCTAAACTATTGCGATTGCATGTTTAATAAAATGACAGCAGGGCATTTTATTTTTAAAGCTATAGAACAACACACAGAAAATCACCCAACTAAGTTATATTCTCTACTGAGTTCAGATTTCTAGTTTTCACTCCTGCATTAAAAAATACACAGGTATCATAAGGCTTTGGTTTATTTCTGTTTTAATTTAAAAAAAAAAACAAGACATTGGGAACTACAGACACCTCAAAGTGTTACCTAATTAAGAAATGTCTGAAGGACATCTCTGTTTAAATATTAAGAGGAAAAAAAATCACATTTTTAGGATGAGGAACTACATTTAATTCGCCAAATAATTCTAGAATAATTACAGGAGGGAAGCAGGGCTACATTTCACTGAGTAGCTTTTTATTTCATGCCCTTTGGCTTTGGAAAATTTAGCTTGAAGTAAATGTAATTCACTATCAACAGCAGTTCTCAGTACACAGTTTGGAAATAAAGTTAACATGTAAATTTACCCCTTGGAATTGAGAAGGCTTCACTAGCATCTTGGAGGTAAAATATTTTACAGCTCTGTCCCTTGCAATGATAAAGCACCACAAAAATATGATTAATGCATATGTATTTTGGCTGTTCAATGTTTCACCTTCAATTCCTGTCTGCCACTCACCAAAGCTACTGTATCTTTTTCCAGGATTGTGCAACTGCCTTCTTGGTTCCTGGAAAATGATGTGGCTGCTTTAAAGACTTGCAGACAAGAGAGATATGTGTACGTTGCATAGTCCAAACACCTTTTGGAATTGAATTCAAAGCATTGCACAGCCCTATTCTGTATGGCTATTAAAACCATTCATTGAGGTATGCAGATTAAAACTATTACAAAACATTCCTCAGAAACAGCAGTGAATAAATGAACACATGACTATTTTTGCAAATGAAATATAAAAACCAGGCAAGGTTAGGAAGCTTATAAATGGATAGAAAAGGATTCTCTTCTCTATATAAAGTGCTTTAGAGTCAAATTAGGCCCAACGCACAAAATAATGGCATAAAATTTATTTAGAGTTTGCTTTGTATTCAATTTTGACAGGGGCATCGGTAATCTATCATTTGGTTCATGTCTCATGTTCTAAAGTTATTCATCTGGGGTGAATATCTATTAATTTAAAAGGTCCAGAAATTCAACAAGGGTTTTATGCCTCCTGCACTATCATTAGAAGAAGGAAGGATGAGTTTATTAGATAAGCTCCGGGCCTCTCTTCAAGTGGTAAATTTGCACAGGACAGAAAATAAAATGCTTATTTATTTATGTACCAGTGTTTATGCTATCCCACAAAGACTTATCTACCAGTAGTATTGCTGGCATCAGGGAGTTGTTTGTGAACAACCAAAGGCTGCCTTGCCTCTTTGCCGGAACTTGTGAGATAGGTTGTATTGTGAAGATAGGTTGTATTGAGGTCAACATCTTTGCCTGCCTATGCCTTAATGGATCTGGCAAGTCAAGAAAGAAGCAGAGAGAGATTCTGGTTTGGTGAAAAAGTCAGCTGAGCTCATTTAAGGTTAATTTGTGGGAACTCAGGAACACTGAAGGAAGCCCAGTTCCTTTATAAGACATGAATCTATTACTAGCATGGAATTAAATATAGGTAAAAATGCAAACTGCAGTACTTCTAGGGATTGTTCCCAAAATACAAGCTGGTATAAACAAGCATGCCTCACATTTTTCACCTGAAGAAAGTGATTGAGAGAAGCCTGCGGTAATCAACCAAATGTCCCATGTAAGGGGAAAAAAAATTTCCCCTGAATACAGTATCCACAAATGAATGAGATCTTTTCTCTTGATGCTTCCTACCTGCAGAACATGACCAGCCACAAAGCATTCTCAAGGACATCTTCTAGAAATACATATGCACATACTTCTGAAGCACTTCACAGCATGTTACAAACAAAAGCCAACCCAGTCTCAAAACAACAATTAAAACCCGGCCAAAATCTCAGTTCTTTTTAAACGGAATGGGACAACTTGCCACAGCCAACTTGTCATAGCCAACTCACTGCAGGACAACTTGCATTGGCCAACTTGCCATGGGACAACTCAGTGCAGAACAATTTAACAATTCTATTTAATTATTTAAAATAAATTAAAAAATATTTTTACTTTTGCCATTCATATTTCATTCTGTCCCATTTTGCATCCTTTCTTCCATGATTCTATTCCACTATTTCTTTGACATTAGTGTAAATCTTGTCCTGCAGTGAGTTGTCCTGTGGTAAGTTGGCCGTGGTGAATTGTCATAGACCCGTTTTTAAATATGGCAAAAAAGATGTACCTGGAATGGTGTCATCATAAGCTTCTGTGTTTGGGAATAATCAGTCAGATCCTGAATCGTTATGAAGCTTGCTCAGAATTAAGGCTGCATATATTATTTGATATTTGAATATGAATAGTGAATGGGTTTTTAAAATTTACTATGTGGCATGTATGACTACTGTCAAAAATTGGCATCATTGATTTCTGCCAAGGCCCACATTCCAACAGGGGAGTTATTGCCTAGGCCTGTTGCATCTTCTAATGCTCTTCCTTACATTTGTTAATTTCTAAACAAGTTGGATTTAACATCAAATGATGTTATCTTTTCATTGATATATAATTTTATGGTACTACTCCCCCCCAAAAAGTGATGTTATTAGCTAGTTTAGGTATTTACACTTTTCCTAAACCTAAAAGGTTTCCATGATTTTGGCCACTACTATGTTTTACTTTATTTTCCAAAGCTGCACAGAAGGAATCTTTATTTGTTCTCTCATTAAGCAGTGGGTTGATTTTTTAATTATTTCCCTCCTTTCGAGAACAAAAAGAAAGTGCACCAAGGAAAGGAGGAAGTGGGGTGAGGTGACAGCTAGATATATTTTGTGCATCCTTCCATTGGCCAACTGGAAGGGAGCACCGTCTGGCAAGATGGAGTTAGAGCTCAGTTGTGGGGATAATTTCCCAATGCTGTGAAGTTGCTGCAGAGTGTATGCGAGACAAAGGTGGTGGCTGCATGAAAAGGCCCTTATTTCTATTCCTTCTTATTTAAAAAAAAAAAAATTAGTTCCCACACAGTTAAGTTTGTGCTACACCTAGAAGTAAGTATGAAAAAAAAAAAAGGCAGCATTGTAAGATGAGAATTCCAAGGCATTTTTGCAGAGGGTTCAGACTGTTGCTAAAGAGCTTAATCAGACCGATGAAGACAAAAATGAAAAAAAGGTTATGTAATGGAATGTGCTTACAAAATATTGTTCATGAGAAGACGCAAGGGGTACAGAACTCGAAAACGGGCTAATAAAGTGTACAAACTTCACTATCAAGCAGAAAGTGCTTTTTTTAAAAAAAAAAATGAAGAGATTTGGGAGATAAAGCTTTCCCCACGTGTCTATACTACATGGAACTCATCATTTCTTGTTCTTTTCAAAAAGACTTTTAAGTGAAGATTTGTTTAAAAAACAACAACAACAACAAGCAAACAACCACACACCACCAAATATCAGGACCATGACTTTTAAGGACTTTGTTCCATTCCTAAGAATAATGTGTAACATAATAAAATAATTATGTTATGGTCGTACCGAGCTCCAAGGACCAGCATTCCAGGCAGCTTCTCGGGGACAGTCCTGCATATTGCACTGCTCGCGGTCTGGTGGTTTGTCAAGGATTTCACAGCTCAGATCAGTAAATCTCTCTCCGTTGGAATGCTGGCATACAACTAGTCTCGTTCTGGTTCCTCCACCACATGACTTTGTACACTGGAAAGAAAAGACATTACAATGATGGATAGTACCAGTATTATTACTACTTTATGCTTTCTTGGTCTGACTCAAAGCCAGTTTGGACATTAATTTTTCTGCTGTTCAACAGGCATGTGATTCCAGGGGGAAAAAAACAACAACTTTCAACACAAAAACAGAGTGAGTTAGCAGCAGTGATGGAATGTGGGGGACATGAGATTATTGATGCTCCGCGCACTAAGGGTTTCTTTTCCCCTGGATTTTTCCAAACTTATGAATTGATATAGAATAGAATATAGAATAACAGAGTTGGAAGGGACCTTAGAGGTCTTCTAGTCCAACCCCCTGCTTAGGCAGGAAACCCTACACCACTTCAGACAAATGGTTATCCAGTCTCTTCTTAAAAACTTCCAGTTTTGGGGCATTTACAACATTTGGAGGCAAGTTGTTCCACTGATTAATTGTTCTAACTGTCAGGAAATTTCTCCTTAGTTCTAAGTTGCTTGATTAGTTTCCACCCAATGCTTCTTGTCCTACCCTCAAGTGCTTTGGAGAATAGCTTGACTCCCTCTTCTTTGTGGCAGTTCCTGAGATATACAGAGGTAGTCCTTGAATTATGTGCATTCATTTAAGGACAGTTCAAAGTTATGACGGCACTGAAAAAAATGATTTATGACCGGTCCTTACACTTAAAACCACTGCAGTGTCCCCGTGATTACTTGAAAAAAATTTGGATGCTTGGCAACTGGCACATATTTATGATGGTTATAGCATCCTAGTATCACATGACTACGTGACTTCCCCATTGACTTTTGACAAACAAAATCAATGGGGGAAGCCAGATTTGCTTAACAACCACATGATTTGCTTAACAACTGTAGCACAAAAGGTTGTAAAATTGGGTGTGATTCACTTGTTGACTGCAGTAATGGATGTTCCAAACTCAATTGTGGCCTTAAGTTGAGGACTATCTGTACACTGAAAATAATACTGATTGTGCCAAAACAATATGGAGAGAGGGAAGGGAAAGAGAGAATGAGATTAACTTGTTGGTTATGCTATTAGTTTTCCAAGCTCAAAGAAAATAGAAAGAAGGCTGTGAAAACCTGATTATTTATCCAGATCTGAATGGGACACTTCTGTTTGTGATGTTTTGTATTCACTTTGTTTGGATTGCCATCTTGGAATTATTTTGTGGTTATGCTTGTACTTGGTCTGGTTAATTTCTTGTATTTTGTCATTTTTATATCACTCTACTCTTATGAGCTGCACAGAGTTAGATGGAATCAGCTGGCATCCAAATTGAATGGATGGATGGATGGATGGATGGATTGTTGAATGAATGAATGAATGAAGCATTCAAAAATCTGGTTCCTTCTATCTTTTAAGATTAGTTCTGACCTCGGCCTCACAAACATGATTGACAGAGTAAGGAGAAGGAAGTCCTGCATGCTCCAAACTACTTCCTTAAAGATCGCTTGGATTCAGCAACTACTACAATGGTCTGTTAAAATAGCTTCCTGTCATACCCAGCTTTATAAACAGAAAAATTATATAGTAAAGGGGAGAATAAAAACATCTATTCCAGAATCAACTTTCATTAGTTAATATCATGTTTTAATGTTATGTGTTTCACTTGCTTTTATAGGCTTTCATTGATATACTTTTGCAAAGTTTTGATTTAAAAAAAAAATTCACCTCAGCAGACTTTAGTGGTCATTGACATACTGAACTAAATAAATACATACATTCACATACCTTCCCTCCACTTTAACAATCAAGATCTTTCAGATCAAGATCATTATCGCTGGACCAAGCCTTAACACTTTTGGAGAAACCCTTTTGAAACAATGAATGAAATTCACTTTCAAATGCAATCATAATAATCATAGTACTCTATTACTAAAATATTATAGTAATAGCAATAGCACTCAGACTTATATACCACTTCACAGTGCTTTACAGTCCTCTCTAAGCGGTTTACAGAGTCAGCCTATTGCCCTCAACAATCTGGGTCCTCATTCTACCCACCTCAGAAGGATGGAAAGCTGAGTCATCCTTGAGCCTGGGGAGAATCGAGCTGCCAAATTGCAGGCAGCCGGCAATCAGCAGAAGTAGCCTGCAGTACTGCACTCTAACCACTGTGCCACCGTGGCTAATAATTATACATCATTACCATGTAATGATAATGACATACAAAGTAAAAGAGTTCACTTGTTTTTAAAGCTAACAGAAAATGGCTTACCTCACTCCAGCTTCCATAGGCCCACTGAGGGCAGGGTCCCGATTCGCAGGATCTTAGCTCATCTGGTTTCATCCTTGCATCACAATTATCAGCAGCATATCCATTTTCATCCTGGCATACGACTACTCGCCGTTGAAATCCACCAGCACAGGTACTTGAGCACTATAAAAATTTAATTGTCACAGGCTCAGGATGTTTACTGTAGGTTGCTGCTCCTGTTTCATCCTTGCTATAAATCCAGATCTCTTAAATGTATAAAAGCTTTTGTATCTTTTTGCTACTAGCAGCAGTGATAATATAAATGTTAGCAGCAACAATAATAAAAATGTCAAAATATTCATCTACAACAAGCAGGTAGAACCTTTCTCTTCTGATAGGGAAATAACTACCCTCCTCAGATTTTGTGGAATGTCCCCTTGTAGGTCTTTTGTTTCAAACTGGACAGCCTGTCAGTTTTCTGAACTAAACTCCCTCTATTTGCAATCTCCTCCAGGCTTCATTCAGAAAGGAGGCTTCACCTTCTAATTAACTCATAGACCTATGAACCTATGTCAGTTGCTTTTCAAACTTGGCGACTATAAGAAACGTGGTTAAGGAATTCTGGGAGTTGAAGTCCACACCTCTTAAAGTTGTCAAGTTTGAAAAATACTAAGACATGCAACACAAATAATAGATACAATAGTGAAAAGCAATAAAATGCTTGCAGACTCTTGTAGAATTATGTGATTTTTCTCCTTCCCTCCTTGCTACAACTCATCTAGCAATAGCACTTAGACTTATATACCGCTTCACAGTGCTTTTAAAGCCCTCTCTAAGTGGTTTACAGAGTCAGCATATTGCCCCCAACAATCTGGATCCTCATTTTACCAACCTTGGAAGGATGGAAGGCTGAATCAACCTTGAGCCTGGTGAAATTTGAACTGCTGAACTGCTGGCAGCCGACAGAATGCAGTACTGCATTCTAACCACTGCGCCACTTTGGCTCTGTCTGTCTGTCTGTCTGTCTGTCTGTCTGTCTGTCTGTCTGTCTGTCTATCTATCTATCTATCTATCTATCTATCTATCTATCTATCCATAATCCATCCATCTATCTATAATCTATCTATCTATCTATCTATCTATCTATCTATCTATCTATCTATCTATCTATCTATCTATCTATAATATATCTATTTATCTCTCTATCTATCCTGTATCTATCTCTCCCCTCCCCCCTCCCCCCCCCCAAGTCTACTTTTAAGGCTAGCTAATCTTCTGGAACAGATTTTAAAGTATGGGAGCAATTGCAATGGGAATCCCTTCTGTTAGTAGAAAAAGCTTCTACTAATGCCAAAACAAAACTGGATTCTACCTAATAATTAATTCATTTCATGTATTTCTATCTTGTCCTAATCTCCCCCTTACAATATACAAGGCAGAAGGTTTATTGGTAAAATGAGAACTGGAGTCAGGGATTGAAGTGAAACCTGTCTGGGATGGGAGATTAGTTGCACAACTATAGCTAGTTACAAACCTTCCCTAGCTGGCCAGGTTTGATGCCAGCTATCTAAACCTTGACTACAGCAATAGGTTCTATGTGGGGCTACCCCTGAAAAGTGCTGGAATTTGCACCTGGTACAAAATGATGCTAGCCAGTGTAAAATACAGCGAGCTCATGGTGCCAGTAGCAAAAGATTGCTGCCACCTGCCAATCTATGGTACAATGTAAGAATAGTGTTGCAAAGCCACTTGTAAATTCTCTGAGCAAGGATTTTTATTGGTATCATTTCTATTATTCTTCGTTTCACTGATTCAGAAACCATATGATACCAATCACTCTGTCTTCTCCTTCTTTCCATGTTCTTGGAAACCTTTTGTTGGGGGCAGGGGAGGGGAGAAGGAATGCAAACTCCTTAAAATCTTGAATTTTTGGAGCATAGATAAACCAGTCTGGGATAGCTGAACATTTATTTTATTGGCGTGGGGAATGAGGAGTGTTATATAGCAGGTTATATCTACTGCACAACCCAATTTACAAGAGGGCAAAACAACAGGATATTTGCGAGACCACCTTCTGCCACCGATAACCTCTCACCAGCCAATACGCTCCCACAGAGAGGGTCTCCTCAGGTGCTGTCGGTCAAACAATGTCGACTGGCGACCCCCAGGGGGAGAGCCTTCTCTGTGGGGGCACCCGCCATCTGGAACGAGCTACCCCCAGGGATACGACTGATCCCGGACCTCCGTACTTTCCGCCGGGCCCTGAAGACTTTTCTATTTCAGCAAACCGGGCTGGCTTAAAAATTTTAACTGGTTAATTTTATGGGTAAGGGGTTTTAAATTGGGGAAGCCAAACTGATTTAATTATGTTTTAAATTATTTTAATTTTCATATTGTATGTATTTTAATCTTGGCTGTTCACCGCCCTGAGTCCTTCGGGAGAAGGGCGGTATAAAAATGTAATAAATAATAATAATAATAACAACAACAACAACAATAACAACCCAGCAACTACTTACTGCTCCCCATGGCCCAGTTCGCCACTGGTTGCCGCCATGTCCATGACCTTGATTTCGGTTTGGGTGCCCGCCTCGATTGTTTTTTTGATGATAGTCAGGGTAAGGAAAAGGATTAGTGGGTCTGTTACCCGGGTTGATCTGCTGACACGATGGCATAGAGCAGTCCTGCTCTGTCGCAAGGATATCTTCAGCATCACACTCATTTCTATCGATACTCTGGTCATTGTAGTCTACGCAGAGTATTTGCCTGGTCACCTTACCTTGCCCACAAGTTACAGAGCACTACATTAATAAGGAGAGAAGAGAGAGAATAGCTGGCCATAGCCCTAAGATAGATTTTGAGAAGTACAAAACAACAAGAACAACAACCCAAACAAACAAATCCTCATGCATATAAACCTATATTAAGTACCAGAAGTTTCACTAAAGTGGATTCAACAGATCTCATTGTTTTATTGCATTAGCAGCTTACAAATCTGCCTTATATCAACTCAGAATACTTGCATCTAGGTCTTTGGATATAGGTATTTGCCATCACTCAGTACCTGGTCCTTTTAACCACAGATGGATGCCAGGTATGGACTAGCTCCTGCTTCACTATGTATTAATCTGATCATTGATAAAACCATCTTGACCGTGGTGGGCAAATGTGGCCCTTTTACAACCTGTGGACTTCAACTCTCAGAATTCTTGAGACAGCTTGGCTGTCTCAGGAATTCTGGGAGTTGAAGTCCACAGGTTGTAAAAGGGCCACATTTGCCCACCCCTGATCTTGACTATGTTCCAACAAGGGTACTTGTTACATTATGAAAGAAGAGCTGCCATGTTGCCCAACAATGATGTGCGATTTGTCTTCCACCTAAGAGAAAACCAAATCTTCTCCTCTTAATGGTGAATTATGCACGTTCAAATGGGCAGATATTTGGCATATTTAAACAAGGAAGTTGCTTACTGGGCTCCATTCCATGGCTTTCCACCGGCCACAAGATATTACAAGACACGCGTCTGTTGCTGATGGTTTTGGAAGATGGAAACAGGCAGCTTCGTCAGCCACAGAGCCATGATCATCACGACAGCTGACATACCTCATCCTGGTGCCTTTCCCACAGGTAGCAGAACACTAGAGAAGATCGACAAGAATGTCTCTGAAGAAGCAGATTCTTTTGACAAGTGTATCATAATCTTTACATAGATATGATTAATTATCAAGGGAAATAAAAAAATAAAATAAAATAAATTGGTTAGTTTTAACATACAGAAGTCCAGGATCCAAATCTCCACTGGGTTCTGTGACTGCTTTGCTTAATTTCTGGACTGCTAGGATGGAGACGACATGGCACTGTTTCACAGTCCTATTTCATAAATAAGAGCATTAAAAAAATAAATACAGTATCAGATAACTGATATCACAAATATTTTGTTACAGCTTAGGGATTACACTACTGAAATGATAAAATATTAAAATTATTAAATCCCCTCTTATCCAGACACAAATATAACTGACTCATCTTCTATTAAAAGTGGATATATTCAATATATCTGGTAAATCATAAAATATAAATATATATTATATATAAAGATAAAGGTTCCCCTTGCATATATGTGCTAGTCGTTCCCGACTCTAGGGGGCGGTGCTCATCTCCATTTCAAAGTCAAAGAGCCAGTGCTGTTCAAAGATGTCTCCGTGGTCATGTGGCCAGCATGACTAAACACCGAAGGCGCACGGAATGCTGTTACCTTCCCACCAAAGGTGGTCCCTATTTTTCTACTTGCATTTTTTATGTGCTTTCGAACTGCTAGGTTGGCAGAAGCTGAGACAAGTAATGGGAGGTCACCCCATTACGCGGCACTAGGGATTCGAACTGCTGAACTGCCAACCTTTCGATTGACAAGCTCAGTGTCTTAGCCACTGCGCCACTGTGTCCCCTTATATTATATATACATACATATAAATTGAATCTACAACTACAATTTGCTTTGACCATTAGTAGTTCAGATTCTTGCAGAGAGCTTAAACTTGCAATAAATCTTTATATTCATTTGAACTGCCTGGATTTCTTGCTTTCCTGCGCTTGACGATATATAAATTATTACTAGTTTTATTGTATCAGGTAACATCTCTCTGGAAATCTAAACCATGATGGGATTTGGTGTCAAAATGTATTCCCATTACACAAAAAACAGCATTTATAAACATATACAGTACAAACAATTTAGATAAGAATATGGTGGTACTATCAATTTTTTTCCTTAGTATCAAAATGTATCAGAAAAACATGCTCCTATATGTACTACAAGTGGTTTCTAGCCCATGTCACATCACAGAGACTGGAATGTATTTCAATAATTATTCAAACAAAATTTTATAATTGATTAGATAAGAGGAAGAATGCCAAAAACAAGGGATAATGAATGTCTGGAAATGTATATATCAATGTAAACAAATTTATACAAATTTACATATCTTCTATTTCATTATATATCAAGTATGCAGTATTTTACTTCCTCAACAACTATCCATGTATTTAATAAACCTATATTACATTCTCAAATTCAATTGAATTTGTGAATGTAATATAGGTTTATTAAATTATGTAATATAGGTTTATTAAATACATCAGTGTTTCCCAAACTTGGGAACTTCAAGATGTATGGACTTCAACTCCCAAAATCCCACAGCCAGCCATGCTGGATGGGGAATTCTACATAGATAGTTGTTTAGCAAGTAAAATACTTCATACTTTATATATAATGAAATAGGAGATATGTAAATTTGTATATAGATCAAGGAATAGATTACTTATTAACTTGATTTAGACGCAAATGTTAGAAACCAGAGACGTTGATCAATGTCCATTTTTTACTTTTAAAACTAATAAAATATTTTTTTAAAAAATAATTATTCAAATGATGAGACGGAATTAGGAATTAAATTAGTTACTGGCAAACAAGGAGAGCATGAAGAAAGAAAACTCTAAATGGCCCTTTTGAACAGGCACAGATTTACCAATTGGATAAGATACTGTACCTACTTCAAATAAAACAAAATCACGAGAAAATGAAATAGAAGAGCTAAAAATATGATTTAAAACTGCAAGCATCCTCAGTTTTCTTGGATTGTCCTATTTAATATGGACTGGTCCATTACATTGTTAATGCCTTCTTACATTTTAAGAGTCACTCTACAAGCAGAAATCTTTAAATGTTATAAAATGGTTAGAAAAATTGCACTTGGCTGAATTCTTCCATAAGTGCTCATTGCGCCTCATGGGTTTCTACCACTTTGCAAGAAAATACCATTTCATCCAAGATGGTTGCATGCCCCTCCATTCAGTGCGAGATGGGTCGTTTCTAAATTAATTAATTAATTAAATACAAATTTTCAATGGTATTTCAATGGTATTTCAATCTTTGTACCTTGGGCTCCACTTTTGAAATGTTAAAAAAAACACCTGAAATTACTACATGTCTACTTTATCACCACACCACACCTACCTGTGTATCTGTTGGCTTGGTTGCAGCATTGCATTCATTATCATCTACTACAGAGATGTAGGCACCAACAACACATTTCACTGCCCTCATCTGATAGCCTTGCCCACAGGTTACTGTGCACTAGAGGGGGGAAAAATATCCACATATTTTTTAAAAAAGGTCTGAATATATCAATTCTGCAAATAAACACTTACTGATTCACATTAGCTTAACACATTGATGTCCAAGCAAGTATAGCCTTGGTAAGAGTACAGAAAGCCCAACTCTCCTAGGTGAGTAAGGCTTTCCTATAACCTTCTAATTGTACTAAAGCCTTGCCTGATTCACAAAACTTTAAAGGGAAGGGGGAGTCTAGATAGAAGCCTTCTGTATTTTTCTATTTCTTCCTTGTTTAACATTTTAAAAAATAAATAAATTGTGAAACAGCGAACAGCTGCACAATGCTTTTGGATTAATAGTGCTAGGAAATCTCTATCTGGAAGCAATATTATAGAATAGAATAGAATAGAATAGAATAGAATAGAATAGAATAGAATAGAATAGAATAGAATAGAATATCAAATAATAGAATAGAATGGAATGGAATGGAATGGAATGGAATAGAATAGAATAGAATAGAATAGAGAACAGAACAGAACAGAACAGAACAGAATAGAAGAATAGAATAGAATATCAAAGAATATCAAAGAATAGAATAGCATAGAATAGAATAGAACAGAACAGAACAGAACAGAACAGAACAGAACAGAATATCAAATAAGACCTTTACCACAATATACACGGATGATTTCAGAAATTAAATTCCTCAAATGTACAATTTGTCTTGCCCAATGCAGGGAAGAGCCAGTTTAGTGTAGTGATTAAGGCACCAAGTTAGAAACTAGAAGACGCGAATTCTAGTCCTGCCTAAGACTCAAAGCCAGCTAGATGACTTTGGATCAGTCTCTCTGTCTCCCTCTCTCTCTTTTTGTCAGCCCTCGGAAGAAGACAACTGCAAGATTTCACTTTTGAAATCTTGCCAAAATTGCAGGGGTCAAAACTGACCCAAAGATGCCATCCCACCTCCCCAAATGGAGAGAAACTTACAATAAACAAAAGTTCTTTCTACGGTTTCAATTCCTTCTGCTTCCAATTACATTGAATAGTTAAAATATATTCCTTTCACTAGAATCCCAAATTCCTCATTTATTTTCTTCAAATAAATGTGTGCAGTGATTTATGGATTAGAATATCCTCCCACTCCCATACTTATTTTCATTGGGTTATCCGCCTTGAAGACCACACACTATATTCTTTGCAGGTTCAATCCATTTTCCAGATTACAGCCTAGTTAAGTGTCAGGGTTTTAAAAGGACTTCTATCTGATGTGGAGCTTGACACAGATAGCTTGTCACATTTCTTCACCAAATGTGAAGGTAGAGAAATGAGGTGGAGAATTCTCTGACTTTCTCCAGGGAAGAAGAAATTTTCCAATCATTTCTCAAGGGTAAGACTTCCATTTAGCAAGGACATACCAAAGTTACTAAAAAAAAACACACATGGTAAAATGAATTCCCTTACTTTACTCTCTCAAGGGATTCAACCGAATTGTAGAAAGTAAAGGAGACTGTAACTTCTGGAAATGCCATAATAAATATCCCATTTTTCATTGTATACCCTTGCAACTTGTAAACCAACTAATGAAGACGTGAAAACACCATATTCCGCTGACGAGAATGTCAAAGAAATTTTCTGCTTTAGAAATTTCTTTCAAAATAAAATGTCTTATTTAAAACTGAATGAGAACTGTCAGAAAAAAAAAACAAAACCAAGAGGCTTTCTCCGGTACTCGTCTCTGATCATTTTAATTCATTTACCCGTATTTTTCAGAGTATAAGACACACTTCCCCTCCCCCACAAAAGGGGTGAAAATTTGGGTGCGTCTTATACACCAAATGTAGCCGTGCCCACCCGCTGGCCCTCACTCTTTGGCCTCTGCCTCCCAGCAATTTACCTCCTTGCAGCAAGCAGCCCATTTCAGCTTCAGCACAACCTGATTAGCACAAGAAAAAAAAATCTGCCTCCCAGCAATTTACCTCATTGCAGCAAGCAGCAAACAGCCCGTTTCAGCTTCAGCACAGCCTGATTAGCACAAGCAGTTAATTGTCTTTGGATCAGCCTCCCGACCTTCAGCTATTTCAGGCTGCAGGGATTGCCATTGCCTATTGCTGCGCCTCCAATGCTTGCTGCAAGGAGGAAAATTGCTGGGAGGCAGATTTTTTTTTCTTGTGCTAATCAGGATGTGCTGAAAATGAAAATGAAACTAAAGCAGGCTGTTTGCTGCAACGAGGCAAATTGCTGGGAGGCAGAGGCAGATTTTTTTTCTTCTTCTTTTCTTCCCCAAAAAAGGTAGGTGCGTCTTATACTCTGAAAAATACAGTAATTTTTATACTGCTGCAACTAAAAAATATAGTTATAAACAGTCTGGACTTTAGAATTGGGCTCAGGAACCTGTAATCTGACTCAGTATACATTCCTTTTTACTTTTTTTTTTTTTTAAAAAAAATCAGGGCATGGAAGTAGATTACAGTTAAGAACTGTACCAAGAACATGCTCTAACTCCAGTGAGGACCAAGTTAGCCATGATTGTTTAAAGAGATGACTCACTACTTCAGCAATAGCATGAACCTGGCTTTCTCTTGGCAAGACAGTTACACATTGGGTACAATTATGATCTGATTATTAGAATGCTGCATTAAAGCTGAGAAGATTTTTAAGTTGCCTTACCTTTCTTACCTGAAAATTATCAAAATAAAACTAGAAAGGGTAGGAGTCACAGACAACACTTGCAGGAAAGGTGGCTTATAAATAAAAATATATTCAGGCAACTTGCACATGTTTTTTTTTCCCATTTCCTATTGTTTTAGCTATTAATATCCCAATTGATTGCCTAATCATTATTACCACCATCATCATAATTGTTGTTGTTATCATTAATTCAATACTTTGCTTTGTGTCTTGCTTGGTATCCTTTAGTTGCAGAACTAAACATTTTTTTGTTGTTGCAGAATGATTGACATATTTTGGAAAGAAACTAACAAGAAGGAACAAATGGCTTCAGGTACCTGGCCCCACAGTCCTACTTGCCAAGCTGCACATTCTTGCTGCTGGCAATCTTGCATGGAATCTGGTTTGGCCTCAAGATCGCAAAGTCTGTCATTGATCCGATCTTCTCCAAACTGGCACCAGATTTGCCGATGCTTGTGCCCTTTTCCACAGGTTACCAAACACTGAAAGAAGAACATGTCAACTTTAAGCTGGCCTCACTCATTCAATGCCTTCTCTTCTCAAAAGGTTAATAAAGCGATACAAGAGTTTAAGGAAGGGAACAAGCTTGGCCACATCAAGGCTGAAATTAGCTCTTCTAATGAAACATTGTTCGAAGTAAATTTTAGCAATTTACAGGTCATGTAAGTTCTACGCAGCCCCATAGGATCCATAAAGCAAAAGTTAAATCATTGTCATACCAGTGGTGGGCTTCAAATTTTTTTACTACTGGTTCTGTGGGTGTGGCTTGGTGGGCGTGGCATGGCTTGGTGGGTGTGGCTTGGTGGGCATGGCAGGGAAAGGATACTGTAAAATCTGCATTTCCTCCCGATCAGCTGGGACTTGGGAGGCAGAGAATAGATGGGGGCGAGGCCAGTCAGAAGTGGTATTTACTGGTTCTCCGAAATACTCAAAATTTCCGCTACCAGTTCTCCAGAACTGGTCAGAACCTGCTTAATACCACCTCTGTGTCATACCTATCTTCTTTTTATCTGTTTTATTATCTGATGCTAAATGAATGCTGAGACCCGCTTTTCAAACTGAAAGGAGGCCTACAGTAGCTAGTCTAATTCATCATGCTAATGACAGAGGAAGACATGAACAAAGTAAATCCTAACTGTGCATTAAGGAATGGACATGTGAAGAAGGTCATCTGATCTGACTAACCATTTTAGTGCAATTTCGCTGTGATTAAAATTACATTTTTTAAAAATGACCCCATAATCCCTTGCATCGGGGTGGAGTCTGGGCAAGTGAATGGAGCTGAGTGTTTACTGGCCGGATGCCCTTCCTGTCGCCAATGCGGAGGTTGCAGCAGATATATTCTTGTTGTACCCAGAGAGACAAATATCTGCCTCTACTTAGGCTCGAACTCACAGCCTCCTGATTGTGAGGCAAGAGCTCCACCTCTAGGCCACCATATCACTCTGTGATTAAAATTACAATATTAATGCAATATAACATTCTTACTTCTGACCAATCTCCTGTTTTCCAGTGTGGGCACCGGAGTTCGTTGCACCGCTGTGCTGTCACTTTTTCCTGCTGGCTGCATTTACTATCCTCCAAAACATCATTGAATGTATTCATGCAGACTGCTCGACGCCTCTTTGTGCCACCACCACAGCTCTTGGAGCACTTCAGGGAATAAAAGCGAAGTCAAAGTTAGGGACTACTACTACAAGGTCACCTGAAAATGCCCACTCCTCCAGATTCCATATGGAGGAGTGGTCGGCATATGATTTGAGTTTTAAGTGTGTGTTTATCAAAGAGCTCTTTACAAAAACAACCAGGAATTTCTCTTTAGAAAATCCCAGCTATAAAGCATATGCTAATTATTGCTACCCTGATTCTCTCGACAGTCTATAAACTGGAGAAATTGTGCTGTATCTACTCTGGCTAATAATCGCTAGTACATACATTGAGCACATCCCAGTAGTAGTAAAAACAGCTACTTAAAAAAAATAATAATAATAGGGAAATCCTTGAGTCACTATGGTCTTCACAGGCTGATAGCCCATGCAAAGAACTGTTGTCCCATCATGGCAACTGTTTGGGTGATGCCTTTCATTTCTAAGCTCCTCGTCAGCTAACTGGCCTTTAGGGTTAGAATTGCCATCTGAAATGAGAAGATAGGATCAAATCTTTTTAAGGGAGGTTGTTGAAAAAGTGACTGGCTTACAGCTCCAGGGGTCCCTGGAAAAAGCAGATTATGTGGGCCCCTTTCAGTCAGGATTCAGGCATCCTTAAAGTAATGAGACAGCATTGATTGTGTTATTGGGGTTATTGTTTATCTTTAGATGTTGGTGGTTTATGTGTGGTAGGTTTTTGTGTTTTAATTATGAAAATCAGTGAGATTCGCTTGTGCAAGTTGGGTGGCTATGAAGATCAGATACAGGATACAAACAAATAATGTAAAATACAAAGTAAAGTATGAGCAATCAGACAGGTGAAAGAATAAATATTCCAGTTGTTAGGGAACATAATTCAGTGGCTTAAATGACTTCTGGTTTAAATATTACATTGAATCCTATTTCTTTTATGTACTGTGCTTCTCCAAAAAGAAGGTTGGGTCTTATTTACTTTTGACCTCCGAAAAAATAGCTAGGCCTTCTTTCTGGAGGGTTCTAATTATTGGCTCACCTCGTGGCGGCGGCACCGACAGCCCCACCCAGCAGGGCCCGCTGCTGGCCCACTTCTTCTGTGGCCGCTTGCCGCCACTCGCACATATTGCCCTGGCCTCTGTTTTGTGTTCAAATGCCTGCCGGAAGGCATCTGCAGCCAATAACAGAGCTCCAGATCGATCCAGAGCTCTGTTATCGCCTGCAGATAACAGATGCTGGTAGGCATCTGAAGGCGAAGCGGAGGCCAGGGAGATGCATGCGAGTGGCGGCAAGCGGCCACAGAAGAAGGCGAGGCCGGTGTCAGGGTGTGCGAGACCTGGTAAGTAGGGCAGCTCCATCCCCCCATCCCCTACCTTATTTTTAACCTGTATGCCTCACCTCACCCCCTGCAGCCCAGGCTGGGCAGGGTCTTAATTTTGTAGGTGGGGCTTAATTTGATTGCATGTGCTCAAAAACGTGATAGGGCTTCTTTTCAAGGTGGGTTGTCTTTTTGGAGAAACACAGTAATATAAATGCTTTTGTTCCATTTTTAAAATTTCCCTTTTTTATTTTTTTGCATATTAAAGCAACCTCTCCCCATCTAATACTTTTCCCATTTTTTTAAAAAATGGGATCGATTTATAATGGTTACTGAATTAAGAGATTGGTTATTCAGCATATACTGTAGATTACTTAATGTAAAATGTGAGATGTTTATACCACACACAGTTCTAATCATTTTGACTTTCTTTCATATCATTCTTCTCTCCCACCCCTGCTGCTTTTTTCCCCATAAAGGACCAACTTACTTCAGTCCAGGCCGAGTAGCGCCATCCTCCAGTGTTGCAGTCTCCTGAACACTTTTCCCTAGAGTTCGGCTTGGATATGCCACTACAGTATCGGTCATCATACTTTTCAATTTTGCCTTCAAGCTTGCTGTACTTGGCACAGGAAATTTCCAGAGTTTTATAGCCCATTCCACACTGCACAGAGCATTCACTCTTTCTCACAATATGCCACCTATATATACAATCGAGAGCATGTATTAGCAAAGGCAATCATTGCAAGAGAAAGCTCTTTAGATGGTCAAAAATGTGCCTGGGACAAAAAGCAAAAACAGAAGCAGGGGAAATATGTAGCATAATTGTAAGCATGCTTCATTTTTTTCATTTTATCTGAAGCCACTTTATATTGAATTCAGATTATTTGTGTGAATCTGAATTTAAGCACACTGCATGTACTTCCAAGTGATTAAGGTATAGGCAACAATATGGGGGAGCGGGGTTGTAAAATAGTTGACAGATGAGGGATCCCAGTTTGCATAGATGAGTATGAGGTAAAATTGGGCTATATTTGTGTTAGTGGCATGCTAGCCAAAATGTGCCTAGAACTACCCTTAGTGTTTTCAAGAAATGCTGCAAATGGCACAGGTGTGACTGAGTTTAGTAATCTAGTTTGCACCTTCTCTGATTTACTAAAAATGTTATATGAAAGCCTCAAATCATCAGCCAGGCTCCAAAAATCAAGAAAGACACATTCAGGCTTTTCTAAGCAATTTCCTTTATTGTTCTTCACCTATAGGAGGGGTGTCAAATTCTGGTGTCAAACTCGCAGCCCCCGGGCTGGATGCGTCATGGTGCTGGCCATGCCCATGCCCAGTTTAGTGAAGGGGGAAAAAGTTGCAATACATCACATGATGATGCCGTGACAACACAAGTTTGACCCCCCCAACCTTTAGACAGCAAACTTGCCAAACTAAACCAGACAACTTGCATCATTAAACATGTACTCTGAGAACTGTTAGGGAGGAGCCATCTTAATTGTCTCCCATACAACTATCAGAACTTTTGGGCTAACATGCCACTAACACAATAAATGTATAATGTAATGTAGGTTACAATAGACAGAGGAAATGCAAGGCACTTTGATGGAAAGTGAAGCAAAGCATGCAATCACCAAACCAGTTGTTAAAACGGTAGGAACCCACCACTGTGTAGATGGTATAATTTGCATAAATGTTAAAATGCCCATGCTTATTGACTGGCCCCCTTCAGCCCCCCCCCATCCCCGGTAAATCAGACAGGAAACATGACTAGATGACTTACCGTATTTTTCAAAGTATAAGACGCACCTTTTTCCCCAAAAAAAGAGGGTGAAAATCTGGGTGCGTCTTATACTCCGAATGTAGCCCCACCCAGCTTCTCAAACTGAGGTTTCAGAGGCTGAAAAAAGCAGCAGAAATGAAGCTTCAGAAAAGAAGCCCCCAAACAGCGCTTCAGAGGCTTTTTTCTGAAGCTGTTTTGGAGGCTTTCAGAGGCAGAAAAAAAAGTTTTTTCTGAAACAGAGTTTCAGAAGTTTCAGTGACAGAAAAAAAAGCAAGGCACAGAGCTCACAACCAAGGAACCTGTTGCTAAAATTCACGTCTGGGAACAGCTGATTGGGGGTATTCCGGGAGGCCGAACCACCTGCCAATCAGCTTTTTTCTTATTTTCCTCCCCAAAAACTAAGGTGAGTTTTATACTCCGAAAAATACGGTAATTCTACTTTATTGTAAGGCTGCATTAACAGAATCTTGCAAGTCTGAAAGTACAAATTTCTTGCTGTCACTTTTAGCAGCCTGATCAATTAGGGCCAATCCATCCTAAGTTTCTTTCTCTGGTTGTTTAGCAACTGTGGGCTCCTCTGCCTTTCATTTGATGCTCCCTGGAGTACCAGAAACAATGCAAGAAGTGACAATGTGCAATATTTGAGAAGGGCAGTATAGCTAGATGAAGCTGGAAATGCAACCCAGCCTGACAGCTTTTCAGCCGAGCAAACTCTTGATGAGAACCAGCTGAATTAAAAGCTGCTTGGCTTGAGAGAGGCTCATTATAGCTGCTCTTACTTTGTTGTTAAAACCTAGAGGGAAAAATATGACAACAATCCGGCCACCACCACTTATTACTAGAAGCAACGTCTACTGCTAAAGCACCCATATGGTCAACTACTGTTGTACTGTTACTGTCTGGCAGACTTTGAGTGTACTAACTTTTTTCTCTATGGACCCCAATTTTTACAGTCTTCTCTTTTGAGAAGGCAGGCAGAAAGAAAGGATCTGTTTCACATGTACTTAGAAAAGCAACATATTTGAACACTCCCGAGATCATCCCCAAAGGAAAACTAAAGACAAAAAGCCCTTATGATTTACCAATTTCAAATGCTTTTAAAAGAAAGGATCTGTCCTGGATAAATTGAACAATTTTGTAGTTGGAGTTGTGGTTGCCAAATGAATGCAGATTCCCCACCCATCCTCTTTTTAAAAATAGTATTGGGAATAGAGAGGGAGAAAGACACTATGGATGTTTATTTTATGGAGCTTAGTGTTCTGAAACAAAAACTTTCTTCCATGATCTATCGAGCTGTGATCTTTTTGGGGATAGAGAATGGGAGAAAAACTAAAATACAGAACTCGTATTATCCTTTCAAAGAAAAGGCATCTGGCAACCTTCAGTATATTTCTTCAGCTACAATTTTCGGAAACGTTGTTCTATTGTTTTAACAGTAAGAGACTACCTAAGAGACAACTTTCTGCTACCAATTAATTTTTCTATGGAGCTAAATTTAAAATGGGTTATTTTTATTTACAATCTGTACCACCCACAACAGAAATATTCTAAACGCTCAGAAAAAATTACAAGATAATAATAACAAGATAGATAATTAAAAAATGACCAACTAGAAATTGGCTGCAGTATAAATCCCATAAGTTCAAAGGCTAAAAAAATAAATAAATGAAAATGAGCAGAAGTGGGATAGATAGTATCACCATCATGGATTTATAATTGGCTGACAAACCGTACTCAACGAGTAGACCTTAATGGTACTACATCTACATGGAGGGAAGTAAGCAGTGGGGTACCACAAGGTTCTGTCTTAGGCCCAATACTCTTCAATATCTTCGTAAATGACTTAGATGAGGGAATAGAAGGGGAATTTACCAGATTTGAGGATGGTACTAAGCTGGCAGGAATAGCCAACACCCTAGATGATAGGCTCAAGATCTAGAGGGATCTTGACAGACTTGAACACTGGTACTCATATAAACTGGGTGAAACCAGGCTTATTAGCAGTAAGTATGAGAGGGATCTTGGAGTCTTAGTGGACAACCAATTAAATATGAACCAACAGTGTGCAGTGGCAGCCAAAAAAGCCAATGTAATCCTAAATTGCATTAACAGAGTGATAAATTCAAGATCAAATGAGGTACTAATACCACTCTATAAAGCCTTAGTAAGACCACACCTAGAGTACTGCTTCCAGTTTTGATCACCACACCATAAAAATATGTTGAGACTCTAGAAAGAGTACAGAGAAAAGTAACCAAGATGATTAGGGCACTGGAGGCTAAAACGTATGATGAACGGTTGCAGGAACTGGGCATAGCTAGTCTAGTGAAGAGATGGACCAGGGTAGACATGATAGCAGTGTTCCAATATTTGAGGGGCTGCCATAGAGAGGAGGGGGGTCAAGCTATTCTCCAAAGCACCTGAAGGCCAGACAAGGAATAATGGATGGAAACAAGGAGAGGTTCAACCTGGAAATAAGGAGAAATTTTCTGACAGTGAGAGCAATCAATCAATGGAACAGTTTGCCTTCAGAAGTTGTGGGAGCTTCATCACTGGAAGCTTTCAAGAAGAGACTGGACTACCATCTGTCAAAAATGGTATAGGGTCTGCTGGGGTGGGGTGGGGTTGGACTAGATGACCTACAAGCCCCCTTCCAACTCCGTTCATCTGTAATCTAATGAGGTCTGACTGCTGCCAAAATTTCATAACTGTTGATGCCATCACTAAGAAGCCCAGATAACAGGCTGATCACTTGCCCAACATTGGCTCTGGGCCTGGCAGAAGGGATGTTGAGAACCCCATCGGTAAAGGAATTCTGGCTGGTAGGGTCCCGGAGAAATGCCTTTTTTTTTTTTTGGCCATGGCTCCCATCCTCTGTAAGATTGTGCCCCTTGAGGTGAGATCCACCCCCATCCTCAAGGCCTTCCAAAGGAGCCTCAATCTCTAGATCTGCTGGGATGTTTCACACTGGAGGTGGTTAGTGGACTAGGAAGAAGATTCCCACCTTCACCCCAGTGTATTTTAATTTTTAACCTGTTTAATCTCTGTTTATTTTAATATTTAACATTTTAATGTTTCTATCTCTGGTTTTAGGATATTGTAAGCTGCCCAGAGTTGCACGACAGTGAGATGGGCGGTATATAAATTTCATAAATAAATAATTAAACATGCCTGAGGGGAAACTAGCAAAGAAGGCAGGAAATAATATAAGTAATAATTGGCATTCAGTTCTCCCATTCAATCTGCATTCTTTGGGATTATGAACTCTGTGCACTCTCTAATATGAGATGAGGAAGAATAGTATCCTTAAAGGTTCCAATTGTTTGATGGCAATTGTTTTGCCTATGAGTGAGCGAGGTGCCTATTAATGCAATTTAAAAATGTGTGCGCAGGGAGAATAGAAATCATGTCCAACCTATCATTAGAGTCAGGCACAGTCTCAGCGGGAAGGTCTAAGTATCATAAAAAAGGCAGAAAATGGTTAGTCATTTAATGGATTTTGACTATCAAAGAAAGGGAAATGCACTTCTGGGATTTCCTGTTACATGTGAAAAATATCTTGGCTGCTTTTCAGGACTATACACTTTGATTAGGGAAGGGAAAAAAATGGTCCCCCCCCCTCACACCCCTGTTATTTTCATTAATCACTGAACAGCCCCAAATACTTCTTTTTTCTGAGGGGGGGGGAGAAGCATGAAATAATAGAAAACTGTGGATGAAAGGAAGTGTTTAAACACCCACATTCCAGATCCCTTTCATTTTAAAAACAAAAGCCACCTAATCCCCTCCCTATTACATGACTGAGGCAAATCCAGATTGTCAATGGAGGCTCATCCACAGCTTGTGGGGGCACATGTGGGCCTCAGGTGCTCCTTTGGGGAAAGGACACGCATTGTTTGAGAGAGGCTCACCTCCTTTTTCTTCTGTGCAGTTTGCTGTTAGATGGGGATATAAACTAATGATTGTAGAAACGGGAGAAACAACCATCTGCAGAGTTACTGAGAAGGAACAGCAGGAGGCTTCCCAAAGAATGAATGAGCATTCACAAGATCACTGTTACCTTCTTGGCATTACCATCAGGGGAGTAGGAATCTAGACCATGATAGGGCAGGGGGAGCAAGGGAATGGTTAAACCTTTCCACACTACAGTACACTACAGAAAGAGAACAGATCAGTGGTGGGTTGCGCCCGGTTCGAACCGGTTCGCTAAAACCGGCGTGAGGCTCAGCCCACCACTCCGGATGTCGTCATAGGCGATCTGCATGTGCAGAAGCTTCCCATTATATGCGATCCCATTGTGAACTGGTAGTAAAGGTAAGTAGACCCCACATGTATACAGAAGGTAAACACAAAAGCTAAAATCACTGACGTCCTAATCAAATCAACTAATCTGGAAATAGCAAGTGCTTCCTACATGTTCACAAGTAAGGCAAAAATGCCACCTTCATCTTCACTGTTGCATCCCCACTCCAGTGCTACTGGTATACAGTAATATGCCACCTTTGAACCTAGAACAGTGTTTCTCAACTTTGGTAACTTTAAGATGGCTTGACTTCAACTCCCAGAATTCCCCAGCCAGCATGCTCCCATTCCCTTTTCAACCTGTATGAGTTAGCTTCATCTCTAATAGCATCACAATACAATAAGTGAATACCTTGAGTACAAAAAAGCAAGCCATGACATGGGCAAACCAGAAGTTTAATGGAATTATAGTACCTACAACTATATATTTTTTGTGATCAGAAGTGGCAGAGCATTTGCGAAAGCAATCATACAACCTTACTAAATTTATTGTAATCTCAGAGAAAAGTATGATCTTCTTTGGTGCAATGAAGGCTCTTTTGAAGAGCCTTGGTTGCGCAGCAGACTAAAGTGCTGTTAAGTAACACCAGCTGCCTGCAATTACTGCAAGTTCAAATCTCACCAGGCTCAAAGTTGACTCAGCCTTCCATCCTTTCGAGGTAGATAAAATGAGGACCCGGATTGTGGGGGCAATAAGCTGACTTTGTATAAAAAAGAACACCGCTTTGGGGGGGGGGAAAGCCTTACTAAGCAGGTATATACAAAATTATGAAGGCTATTGCTTAATGCATTGTAAGCCGCCCTGAGTCTCCGGAGAAGGGCGGCATATAAATTGAACCAAGAAAGAAAGAAAGAAAGAAAGAAAGAAAGAAAGAAAGAGAGAGAGAGAGAGAGAGAGAGAGAGAGAGGAGAGAGAGAGAGAGAGAGAGAGAGAGAGAGAGAGAGAAAGAAAGCCCAGTCTTCCCTGCCCTGCCCCTGTTATTTATTTATTTATTTATTTATTTATTTATTTATTTATTTATTTATTTATTTATTTATTTTTATATGCCGCCCTTCTCCGGAGACTCAGGGCGGCTTACAATGCATTAAGCAATAGCCTTCATACTTTTGTATATTTTATACAAAGTCAGCTTATTGCCCCCACACGTAGGGCCATTGGAAAATGGAAAGTTTGTAACTAACTAAACTACTGATTTGTGCTGTAATTAATTGTTGTTGTTGTTTAATTTGGGGTTGTTGTTTTTTTGCCACTTAACACAATGCCACAATGATTCTTTCTTTGAAAACTGAATTTTGCTTTGGATGCTTTTAGTGCCCCAAAGGTTCTTATCACTAATAAAATATTAACATCTATGAAATTACACAGCAATGCACTTTCCTTTAAGTCTAGGCTGACTTCACAGGAAATGGAAGTTATATAGAACAAACAGCTATGCTGTTAACACTCAGTGGCTGCAAAATTGTGGATTTACTGCAACCAGCACCAGAAGGCAAAAGAAGAAACAATGGATGGAAATTACTCAAGGAGAGAAGCAACTTGGAATTAAGGAGAAACTTCATAACAGTAAGGACAATCTTGCCTTCAGAAGTTGTAGGTGCTTTATCACTGGAGGTTTTTAAGAAAAGATTGGACAGCCACCTGTCTGAAATGGTATAGGATCTCCTGCTTGACCAGGCGGTTGGACTAGAAGACCTCCAAGGTCCCTTCCAGCTCTATTCTGATTGATTGAACCCAAAAGGGAAGAACAACATTCTACACTTCGATGTACAGATGGTCCTTTACATACAACCACACCTGGGATGAGAATTTCCATTGATAAGCAAGACAGATATTCAGTGAGTCCTGACTGATTTTATGACCTTTGTCGCAGTTGCTAAGCAAATTACTGGAATTGTTAAGTGAAACACATGGTTGTTAAACAAGAGCCGAGGTGGCGCAGTGGTTTAGAGTGCAGTACTGCAGCTACTTCAGCTGACTGCTAGTTTAGCAGATCAGCAGTTCAAATCCCACCAGGCTCAAGGTTGATTCAGCCTTCCATCCTTCCGAGGTGGGTAAAATGAGGACCCAGATTGTTAGGGGGCAATATGCTATTTAGTGTACTGTCTTTGGTGTAAGCCGCCCAGAGTCCTCGGAGAGTGGGCGGCATAGAAATATGAATAATAAAATAAAAAATAAAATAAAATAAGCATGGCTTCCTCCATTGACTTTGTCGAAAGTTGACTAGGAAGGTCAGAAATGGTGATTGCATGACCATGCAACTGTCACAAAGGCTTGCAGTTGTCACATACCCAAATTTTGATCATATGACTTTGGGGATGCTATGATGGTCCTAAGTGCAAGAACAGGTCGTAAGTCGCTTTTTCCAGGGCTATTGTATCTTCAAATGTTCGCTAAGGAATGGTTGTAAGATTTGTATAACATTTAAAATTTAAATTCATCATTCATCATTTTAGCCATTGTCTATCCACTGCAGGACGAAGGCCTTTTTTTTACCTATTTGCTTCACCCAAATTAATATTTGTATAATAAGGTCCTTTTTTTTTTGGCCAATTGGGCCTGCAATTTAAATTATGGAGTCTAAAACAATGGGATCCACATATAGAAGACTGCCTTACCTTAATTCACAATTTAAATTACACAGCTCTGTTACTGGATCAGGTTGGGAAATTTTATCACATCTTTGGTCAGATACCGTGAGCTGATCGGATTCCCGGGTGCAAATAGGTTTCCTTTTTCGTTCCCCTGAAAAGAATGAAACAAATACAATTACATAAAGGGTAAAGAACCCATTTCCCCCGTACATATGTTCCAAAGCAGGCCTATATTTAGATAGGTTCTAAATATTGTTTATGCCCTTCCTAAACAGTTTACATTGGCTAACTGCAAGGAACTGAAATGCCAGGATAGCTGAAGTTTATTTTTCAAAACCTGGCTATATTTGAGAACTTCTTTTAAAATTGCTACTTCATGTAACTGAGGTTTAGCAACACTCCCCCATGTTTCATTTGCAAATAAGTCAAACATGAGGGGATTCCTAAATCAAACATTTTGGAGGTGCAGGGTTCAAGCCCCCCACCTCCAAACAATGTGCAATGAATTGGTGTACTTATGTTAAATTATAATGAGAGTTGGAGGGGCATCTACTACTGTGTATGAACATAACACAGAGCTTGACCCATAGACATTCACTGCAGGTATGATTATTCCTTTTGCTAGGTTTAAGTAGGTTTAAGTAGCTATGTGCTCTCTTCTTTGTCTTTTGTTTCATTAAAGGAGGAATAATGATGAACTCAGAAAGAAATAGTGGTGAAGCTAACAGTTCCATTCCTCTCTGCCAACTGCCAATTAGAATGACTGCTTCACCCAAATTAATATTTGTATAATTTATGCAAGTCTTCCTAGCTGAAGGTGTTGTGCAGAAGCATATATCAAAATCTCTCAGCCAACGTTTTTTTCTCTCCTTTGCATCAATGATAGTAGAGTTTGTGGAGCCAAGTCCCATCCTCAGCAGCAGTGAGGATGGGTAAAGGAAGGATTCAGTGGCTACTTCCCTGCAGAAGAAATAGGCTTGAATCCCTTCTCCTAGTATTCATGTAGGAAAAAACTGGCACGGTATGATCCACTTTTCTCTTGGTATCTTATATAGAGTCCATATTAAATGACCCAATATCGCATCATTTGCTCGGCTTTGCATTCTTACTTCTACTCTGGTACCAAACTGGCTCTAAAGAACAAATGTATAAATCTCTTCAAAAGGGGGGATGAGCTGAGAGATGCCAAGAATATACATCTCCTCTGAAATGACATTTCCAGGGACTAATTAGATCAACCTCCCTCACCCATGAAAAGGTATTTAAGCCAAGACAAGTGAGAGTGAGTTTGCAAACCTAAGTGTAGATGTAATACGAAAGATGCTGCATTCCATCTGACATTAGAAAGAGGTCTGTCTATAGCAGGGCTGTTAAACTCGAGGGCCATGGGACGGATGCGTCACACGCTGCCCACGCCCATGCCCTGTTTAGTGAAGGGGAAAAAAGTTGTGATACGTCACATGATGACGCTGTGACAATGTAAGTTTGACACCCCAAACCCGAATAACCAAGGATTGGAGCTGAAAGGTGAAAGGGAAGCAGTATGCTCCCTCCCATATTGGGATAGACCAGGTGCTTCGATAGAAAAACACTGTATGTATGTATGTATGTATGTATGTATGTATGTATGTATGTATGTATGTATGTATGTATACATATATAGGGACGCGGTGGCTCAGTGGCTAAGATGCTGAGCTTGTCGATCAGAAGTTCGGCAGTTCAACGGTTCGAATCCCTAGTGCTACGTAATGGGGTGAGCTCCCGTTACTTGTCCCAGCTTCTTCCAACCTAGCAGTTCGAAAGCACATAAAAAATGCAAGTAGAAAAATAGGGACCACCTTTGGTGGGAAGGTAACAGCGTTCTGTGCGCCTTTGGCGTTTAGTCATGCCGGCCACATGACCACGGAGACGTCTTCGGACAGCGCTGGCACTTCAGCTTTGAAACGGAGATGAGCACCGCCCCCTAGAGTCGGGAACGACTAGCACATATATGCGAGGGAACCTTTACCTTTACCTTTTACATTAATAAACTTTTGGGCTCTTTGAGTGTTTAGTTTTGTTTTCTGTCTTAAATCTAAAAGAACCTACTAGCCCCTAACTGGCCACTGAGTGTCAGAACATCTGGTCTCCCATTAGAGTCAGGGAGACCCTGTCTCCCCCTGCCATCATTAAATGCAACCGCACATTTTGGAAGAACTCATGACTCCTCCTCTAAAAGATCCTCCTAAACTCAGCTACGTGAAAAGTCTGTGCTCCAAACTTTGATTGGCCAGAAAATAGCAGAAAACACCTTTCCTGTCTGCATACAGATTTCCTCCCTCTTCATTCCTTCACAAGCATCAAAAAGGAAACGAGAAGAGAATGAAAAAAGGGATGAGGATGAGAACTCTATTCCCAGTGTTAGCTGCTGCTGAGACAACAACTAGCTCGGGAATACTTGTCTGCTGCCTCCTTCCTTCTGTGCTATTCCTTCATTATTACTTACTGGAATATTGAATTTGAGGTACCATGTCTGCTATGCAAAACTCCACCAGATGGCAACAGAGAGTCAAGTTTCTTTGCTGCCATGTCTAGAGGTCATCTGAGTTTTACAGTCCATATATGCTACTAGTCCTACCACACTATCATATTTCTTGAAGGCATGGGGAAGCCTGGCAGGGTGTACTGGATCCCAGACCAGTTATCTCACTACTATTTAGGCCACTGTTACTGTGAATACAGGCATCTAATACCAACTGTAATCATGAAGACGGAAGAAATATTCAGCATAAAAGTCACAGTGCAAATCCTGGCCTTTGGTATTTGCATCCAAAAGTCCTAAAGTCTGCATTACAATGCACATTTTTCATTAGCTCCTCTCTGCAACTTTCACCCCGCCCCCCTCTCTAACGGTTGCCTATACTGGGAACTGGGAACAAGTAATTCATACATGGAAAAGCCTAGATAATTTTTGATGCATCCCAGTTTTCAGACATTTAGTCTTCTTCTTTGGTTATAATAAGTGAGCTATTAATTGATTTTCCCAGGCCCCAGGACAGTGGGGGGGACTTAGGTTGGTATCCTATTGAACATGAAGAAAGAAGGAGCAACTTGTGCTTTGAAAATAAAAGAATAATCTGTGAGAATAGCCTACTGAAAAGATCAGTCTCCAAGGAAAAAGTAAAGCCAGGGAAGCTAAATTAATTGCAACACAGACCCAGAATTTGTAGCAATGCAAGACTGGTGAAACATGTGCTTAATCAGTAAGATTTTGCACATGTTAGGAACAGACTATCAAGGAGAACATACCGTATTTTTCGGAGAATAAAATGCACCTTTTTCCCCCCCAAAAAGAGGGTGAAAATCTGGCTGCTCCGAATGTAGCCCCACCCAGCTTCTCAAACGGAGGTTTCAGAGGCTGAAAAAAGCATCAGAAATGAACCTTCAGAAAAGAAGCCCCCAAACAGAGCTTCAGAAAAAAAGCCCCCAAACAGAGCTTCAGAGGCTTTTTTTCTGAAGCTTTGTTTCAGAGGCTTTCAGAGACAGGAAAAACTTTTTTTTTCTGAAATGGAGTTTCAGAAGTTTCAGAGGCAGAAAAAAAAGCAAAAAAAAGCAAGGCACAGAGCTCACAACCAAAGAACCTGTTGCTAAAATTCATCTCTGGGGGTACAGCTGATTGGAGGTATTCCGGGAGGCCGATCCACTTGCCAATCAGCTTTTTTCTTATTTTCCTCCCCAAAAACTAAGGTGCTTATACTCTGGTGAGTTTTATACTCCGAAAAATATGGTATTTGAAGGTCAATCTGGTTACTTCCTTGGCCTTTTTTCTCATACATCCTAACCATTATCCATTCCATTAACATTAATTTATCCTACAATTAGATTACTTTTTTTCCTCCCGCACCAACTTGAGAACCGAGATTTTTGGCTCTAGACAGGTACAGCCATTGTGATCTAGGAAAGGAAGACTTAGCCTTAGAAAAATGTTAATCAACCCATTGCATAACGTAGGGCAAAATCACTGTTTCTCAGTTTCAACTCCCCATCTGTAAAGCTGTAATGAAAGCTTACTGGTTGGAAGTTTTAGAAATCGAAATGGGTTTCTCAGGTTTGTTAACTTAATTTCAACTTGGAGCAAATTTCTAGCAGTAAGTTATTCCATGGAAAGGGGCTATTCGTGTCAATCAGCCATTATGTTGTCTTGGACAGAAAGGGCTACAGAAGATTGATCAGAGCAATAAAATCTTTCTCGGTCTGCTGGTTGCCTATGTCAGTTGGGACTTAGTCCTTGGTTTTGACTCTTGCCACTACAGCAGCAAGATACAGCCCTAAATTTGATATTCACAGATTAATAGTGAAAGTGAAACTATAAAGACACAGCACTATGCACATTTTGCCAACAATCATGGCAAAACAGGTCATAAAATCAGTTGTATTACTCTGTCTTGAGTTGCACAAGGGAAGCCAACTTAATGTAGAGTTGTTGTTTTCTTTGATGTCTTAGAGTCAGTGTTGACTCTGGTGACTCTCTGGACTGATCCCCAAATTTTCTTGGTAAGATTTCAGAAATGTATGGGTGCTTCCTAAAACGGAGAGAGAACTAGCCCCAAATCACCCAGCTGGACTTGTGCCTATGAACTCGTCATCTCCTGGCTTCTAGACTGGTGTTAACTACCCCACCAAACTAGCTCTAATGCAGAGCAGGTGGTCATAATTTTGAGGTAAATATTCCCTCAGGTCAGCCTAAAGTACTAAGAAGGGTACTAATATTGTGAGCAGCTGAAAAGACGGCATCCATCATCCCACTATAGCTTTTGGAAATGTAAAGTTTGAATTATTTTTCAAATCCCTTTAAAGCCACGTACCTTGGCAGAGTTTACTGCAGGGCTGCCAAGGTCCATAGACATTCCAATAAAACTGCTGAGGTTTATCTTCAATGGGGATATTGAATGTGTATCGGACATCAGGGTTATATAAATTACCCACCGATAAAACCTGAGAAGAAAAAGATACGGAAAAGCATAACATCAAGGGAGCAACTGTACTATTTCATCTACATAAACATTAAAATAAAGTAATATATATTTGATTTTCCTTTAGAGAAAGAGATTTTCTTTTACCTGAAGAACTATTTCTTGATCAATGCGGTAAGTAGAATTGATTCGTTCAATGGGAGTGTCTGAGCCACTGTATTCTATGACAGCATTTCCAATTTTGATTTCCTTCTTAAACATACTGACAACATAGTCTCCATTTAATATGAAGCCCTCATTGCTTGACAATGCTATGTTCACAGACATAAACAAAAAATGAATCAAAGTAGTTTTCTTGTATACAACAGGAAGGATATTACAGTGCATTTAGTATCAATATTGATTTATTTATTTTACTTCTAGACAACCCAATGATCGTGGTTCTTCCGGCAATGTAGAAATCAATTTATTTACATAATATGAATTCTATAATTTAAATTCTGCTTTAAAAAGCAGCCTAATTAGAATAAATTAGAAAATCATAACCATATGTGTGTTTTCCAGGTGCAATCCCTCAATACCAAAAAATCATAACCTGTAGAATTGTGCTTTTTAATGAACTACTAGACTACTCAGTTACTTTGGAATACTCTGCAACACCTTTTCAGGTATCCTTGAACTGTACCTATATTCAGAATGATATGGTATCATGCTGGAACAATATCTGTTATAGAACAAATTACATATTTTTTTCCAGAATGGATCTCATTTTTCCGGAATGTGATTTCAATAATAACCAGATCAAGGCAGGCAGTCCTCGAGTTATGACTGTAATGGAGCCTGCCTATTAGAGGTAAGTAATTGTAAGTAGTGACGGTTGTAAAGTGAGACACCTATGTGATTGACTTGATTTTACAATCTTTTTTTTTTGTGGTGGTGGTTAAGCGAATCCTGTGGTTGCTAAGTGAATCAATGGTTCATTTTGCTGAAAACTGGAAGTAAATGTGAGCTGGTTGCCAAGCACCCAAAATGCAGTCACATGATGGGGGAAGGGCAGGCATGGGCAGTCATTAGAACCTTGGAACGGAATTCTAAATACCCTGGTAAGATCCATCCTAACTTCAAATTGTCATTAAGTGACCGGTTGTAAGTCAAGGACTTCATGTAGAACAGAGGTGTCAAACTTGCATTGTCAGGGCGTCATCATGTGATGTATCACAACTTTTTTCCCCTTCGCTAAGTCGGGTGTGAGTGTGGCCAGCTCGTGATGCATCCAGCCCGCGGGCCGCCAGTTTGACACCCCTGCTGTAGAAGAAAGCTATGTGACATTCCTAATTTTCAGTGACTCCTGGAGTGATTGGGTGGAAGGTAAAAGCTACTCTTTTTATATGATTTTAGACAACCTGTACAAATGAAGTTCTAACTTAGTGCCATTTAATCTTGGATAACCCAGCAACAATAGTTCTTTAAAAGTTAATTTTTAATAAGGAATTTATAGAGTCTTCAAACGTAACTCTACCTTTGGTACATTCCCAATTCACTTCTGTGCATTCGTAGTTGTAGCTGATGTATCAACCAAAGCCAATAAAAGGATTTCAATTGTCTCTCAGATTATTTTAATCTCAACCAGTGATGGGATTCAGCCGGTTCTCTTTGGATCGTGTGAACCAGTAGGGGCGACTGCGGGAGGCTCCTCCCACCCGCCCAGATGTAATGCGCAACTACTGCACATGCACAGAAGACTGTGCACATGCGCAGAGGTGGCGCATGCGCTCACATTTGCGAACCGGTAGGGAAGGTAAGTGAATCCCACCTCTGATCTCAACTATCCAAGCTGGGTCTTCAAGAAATTCCAAGTTATGAACTTGATCTTAGTGAAGAAAACGTAACCCATTTAGAGCAAGCTGTAGTCAATTTAGCCAACCACAACACTTAATCCAGGATAAAACCAAGGAATCAATTAAAATCACAGGAGAAAGAAAAAAGTAGTTTTTGCCAGTATGAGGGAATATATTTCCAAACAGTAATCCAAATTGTAGTCAGACTAGTTTTCAGTACAAAACCAGGTTACATTGTGGAAATTGAACCATATTTCTTCAGAATTTAGATTGCACTCTCTCCAAGGGGATAAAGGAGCTATATAGTCCCTAGTTCCAAATTGTTGGCTTGTCATAACTCAAGTAATCTAACTAGGACCAGGCCCAGTTAAATCAAAATAGCTTTATTTTCAAACATGCCAAACTGGTCATGGCAAACAATGTGCCATAGAATAGGGCCTGGTTAACCATATTCAGAATGTGTTTTCCTCAGTCTGCATTCAAGCATTTTGATCATGATTTAGTTCTACCATTTTCTACTGTGAAAAGGAGGCTCAGCCGAAAAGAAAAGAAAAAAAATCACCTCAACATCTCAAAAACAAGGCTTCACAAATAGTAAATCACCATTCTAGCATTTTCCGAAAGGACTTCGCTTCTATGGATCCTAACAGGTTTCTGTGCTTCCAGACAAGATAAAGAAAATCAGAGCCTAAAGCTTAATCAGGTTTCCTTCCAGTTGTATATTCTACTTCTGTATTAATTGGATGTCTGCCTGTGTATGAAGGGAATATATATGTTGCAATATTTCCCACTATTTATAATTACAGGGGGGAAAAAAACTCATCTCAAGCACCACCACAAGCACAACAATATTATCAAATTTCTACCTTCCGGTCTACCCTCTTCCCCATACAACATCATAAAAAAGAAATCATCTATTTGTACAGAGTGCAATTAATTCTAAACTGAACTTACAAATGGAGAATTAGAAAGTCTTATGTTTGCATATTTTATCTTTGACTTGAAACTATATACGAAATTATACACTAAAAGATGAAGACTTCAAAGCTTAGAAGAATAGTTCCCTTTCAGTTCCGGAAACCATGCCTTCCTTTAAAATGTATTGTTTCCTGAATGACAGCAGCCTGCTGTTATTATGTAGTTAATTTCCTAACTTAGTTTCTCACCTGTTTCTTATCACTGCCACTCTACTGCCCTAAGGGAGTACTCAGTGGAGACTGAACAAGACTTCAAGAGATAAGACACAACTGATAGAGAATCCAGGCACGATCACATTCTATTTTATGTTTGTGTGGTGCCAGACAATAATGGCTAGACCCAGATTTATGCTTACAATAGATCCAATTAAATTAATTAAACATGAATTGGCCCAACCATTAAAAAATATGAAAAAAACTGAGAAGGATGAAAGTCTGAGAGAGATGAAATTCCTCCAAAATGTCTAAGTATCAATGTCAGTTTTAATAACACAGGCCATTATAGAAGGCCTTAACTGCATAAAAATGTAAAGACATTGTATTGAAAGCTTCTATAGACATTTCAATTAAGGCACATTTGCTCTGTTCCACATTTTGAAAGAAAGCTGAACTATATTTCAAAACGAAAATAGAGAAAAATACAGCAACATTCACTCTAAAGCAGGGGTATCAAACTCGATTTCATTGAGGGCCACATGAGGATTGTGTTTGATCTCGGGGGGACGGGGCGTGGCCAGCTTGACATCCATTGTGTTGGGGGCACCTGTGGTGGCCTGAGAGCTCTGCCAGTGAAATGGGCTGCTGCGCTCCGTTTTTGGTTGGGACGGCCTCCTGCAACCTCTGCCAGTGAAACTCGAGCTCTGGCAGCCCTCGCGAACTCCATTTTCAGCTGGGATGGCTTCCTGCAACCTTCTGCCAGCGAAAATGGAACTCGGGGTGGCCACATGCGGTCCTTCCGAGCTCCGTTTTCACTGGCAGACACTGCGGGCTAGTCCTTCGCTGTTTCCAGGGCAGCTCCGCGGGCCAGATCTAAGCACCCCATGGGCTGGATTTGGCCCGCGGGCCTTCAGTTTGACACCCCTGCTCTAAAGCCACCTCAAATGAGTTTTTTAAAATGCAGGAAAAGGAAAGGAGATAGACCTGGGCATTTGGACCATAGTATACACAATAGGTAGAATGGGGTTAATTTTACCCAATAAAATACCCATGTCTATGAGATTTAGCCTTTATCCTTCACATGAAGTGATAATATCAAAAAAAATGTGTATTTTCTACCCTCCCATCTGAATAGGGAGGGTGATGTGGCCAGTTATGGTACTATTAACATTTGACTAAATGGACAAGTCTGTTAAGAAGTGTTCATATGAGCCTAATGCGAATATGATACAGAAGGCCCAACACAAGTAGTCCTTGATTTATAACCGATCACTTAACAACTATTCAAAGTTACAATTGGATTCTTATGACCTCTGGCCACACATACCCCATGCATCACTGCATTTTGGGAGTTTGGCAACTGGTACACATTTACCGCCATTTGCAGCATCCCGTGGTAACATGACTGTCATTTATGACATTTTTGCCAGAAACCAGTGTTTATTTATTTATTTATTCATTTATTTAATTAATTAATTAATTAAACTTGTATGACACCCTCTCTCCCAAAGGACTCAGGGCGGCTCACAACAATAGAAAAAACACATAAAATTCAGTATTCAAATATAAAAACCAATAAAATCCCCTTTAAAAAACCCCTTCAGTCCAATCCGGCCAGGCCAAATAACCATGTTTTGAGGTCACGGCAGAAAGAGCGAAGGTCAGGGGCCATCCGGAGCCTCAGGGGGAGCTGATTCCACAGAGTAGGCGCGCCCACAGAGAAGGCCCGCTCCCTGGGAGTCGCCAGCCGACACTCTCTGGCCGACGGGCCCCCAAGGAGGCCCTCCCTGTGAGAGCGCACCGGCGATGGGGAGCTGTCGCTGGCCACAAATGGTCCGCCAGGTACCCCGGGCCTAAGCCATGCTTCCAGTTTGCTTCCAGTTTCTGCCAAAAAAATTTCGCCCCATAGTGAACAACGGGTTTGCTCAATGACCATGATGTTTGCTTAACCACCACAGTATTCACTTTATGACTGCTGCAAAAAAGGTCCTAAAATCAGGCACGGTCACATGGGAACCTACTTTACAACCCTCACAGCTTATGACCGAAATTGCAGATTCAATTACGGTTGTAAATTGAAGACTGCCTATGTGAACTTTCTGTCTTTTCCCAACCAGTTATATGACAGTATGACAAGAGCATTTATTATTTTTTTTAAAGGGAATAACATCAATTTTCAGTTGCTGAAGAGCATCACTTCTTACCAAGGTAATTATCATCTTCTGGTTTCCCTGAGTAACTATGCTGCCGTACGTCGATATTTGTAGCACCGGCTGGAATGCGTATCACAGTGTTATAACCTGAGAAGACAAGCCAGAAAATCAAGCTTATTATGCACGTGCAGCCTTGGTGGGTTTTTTTGTTATATAATAACGACAAAAAGAAAAACTGTGCTACGATTCAATATCACAGCAACCAAATTGATGCTTTCATGTTATCATCAAATTAGCAAGAAGCTCAAAATATGAAAAAAGTGAAAGCGAAATCTTCTTCATCCTAGGACTGGTTTTTCAAAACATGCCACAGATGGTTAAGTTTGCTAGCAAACAGCTTTTCTCTACTTACCATAGTGCACCATATTGAATGTCCCTGCAATGGTTTTGCATGATGAATTATCGCCACCACACACACCACATTTATCCCTTCTGGCTTTGGAATTGAGCACGTGATCACATCCAGCTTGCTTTAGAGAAAGAAAAGTTCAGAATGAAATTGGACAAATATGAAAATAAGATAGAATTTACACGGTTGCAAATGAAAACCATACTACCAGCAATGGCCTCTGACGGCACATTCATTCTTTATTTTTCCAATATCCTGTTATGCTATAATAATCATAACCATCCTCCTATTAGGACATGAAAAGTAAGCATGTTTCAAGGCACGTGAAGTACAAAACCATATAGCATGTGGGAGATCAGTGAGACAGGATAGGCAGGTGAGTTCCTGGCGCTGCAGAGAAGATGACACAAAGTTTGTTCTGTCTTGTGGAAATGGGTAGAAGTTGTAACAACAACAGATGAGTCTGGGTTATTAAGCGCCTTTCAGCCAAATTGTGATGCAATTGTGATCCCAACAAAATGACTACAATTGCTCCAATTATCTACCTTCATTTGTCCATAATAATGCCAATCTCAACCATGTAGGTTTTCTGCAACTCTAAGAAAGTGAGATTTCTATTAAGAATAAGGGAAATTTACAATGATGTGATCTTAAGATGCTTAAAACCAGCTTCTCAAGAGCACAACATAATCTCATTTACAATACAGTAATTCTTGCACCGCGTTTTCAGAATTCTTCAGACATCCAGGGAAGGAAATGGCTCCCATTTACAAACTTCTTTCAGCGCACCGCAGGGCTCTTTTATATCTGTCCTAGTTAAATTATATCGTTTTATGGGAAGCCTGGCACCTAAACAGTTCTCATAAATACGTATGTGTAAGCCAATCCTATTAAGCCTCTCTAGAAAGAAAAAAAAACCAACATGGCTGTTTCAATCCTGACACTACAGCTGAACAGGGGAAAGAGAAAGCAGATACTTAGAATGTACTTTTTTTTTTTTAGCCTCTCCACTGCTTTTCAATCATTTTCAAACAAAAGAGGATTTACAGGCAACAGAGAATAGAGCTGATTTATACTTGAATCGGACAATTAGCCCATTTAGTTCAGTACAATCTGTATTGCATGTGGAACAAGCGGTGCACACACGTAACACTGAGAGGACTCCCGTACAGATCAATACGGGCTTTCTGGTTCCCATCCGTGTCCCCTGCTGCTGCAGCTGCTGCTTTGTGAAGGACGATGACACACAAGGAATTATCCTGGCATGCTGTCTTCCTGGTTCAATAATGCTCCTAAGTTAGTGGAAGTCGGATGGAAACGTGGAAAATGATATTCTGCTCACATCTTGTCTCTTCAAACTTAATTGTCTCTCAACAGCTCACTAACAGGCTCTTTGGAAGATAGTCAGGAAAGCAATTGAAATGGGGAAGATGGTGTGGGGAGCAGGGCTCTCCTCAGATCCAATCTTCTCCGTTTAAATTTCATGCCAAGACTGGTCCCGAGATAACAGAACAACAGAGTTGGAAGGCACCTTGGAGATCTTCCAGTCCAACCCCCTAAGTAAAGGTAAAGGTTCTCCTTGCACATATGTGCTAGTCGTTCCTGACTCTAGGGGGCAGTGCTCATCTCTGTTTCAAAGCTGAAGAGCCAGCGCTGTCTGAAGACATCTCCGTGGTCATGTGTCCGGCATGACTTAATGCCAAAGATGCACGGAACACTGTTACCTTCCGACCAAAGGTGGTCCCTATTTTTCTACTTGCATTTTTTATGTGCTTTCGAATTGCTAGGTTGGCAGAAGCTGGGACAAGTAACGGGAGCTCACCCCATTATGCAGGGATTTGAACCGCTGAACTGCCGACCTTCTGATCAGCAGGATGTACAGTGTCCCAGACAATCCTGTGGACCTGCTCAAGCATCACTTATGCGCTTATGTGCTTATGTGCCTGGATAGAAGGGAGTGAACTGCCAATAATCTTTTCTGCTATCTGTTAGATTCAACTCCAAACATGTCATCCACTCTCCAGTTATCCTCATCTTCAGTAGCACCTCCCTATTACCTACTCCCACCATCCTGTCCTTGGAATGCTACTTCCCTTAAAAATAGTTTTATAAAAGTCTCCAGTTTTAGCATTTAGCCACTGAGCCACTGCGTTCCTAGTCCAACTCCCTAGTCAGGCAGAAAATCCTATACCATTTCAGACAAATGTTTGTCCAATCTCTTCTTAAAGACCTCCAGGAAAGGACAGGTGTAAAAATCTCAGCATGCAGTGAAGGAGATTTCAGTTTCTTATCTCTGCTTCCTGGCATGGGGAAGGAGTATTTTGGCCTCCCTTGCTATGTAAGTCTCTGAGTATAAGTATTTGGTGAACAAGAGGAAAAAGGAAGAGAACATTTGTATCAGCTTGAATTTTCATAAATGAGAAGACATAGCGTGGGTACTAATTCAGTCTGGGTTGTATGGCTATCGGGATCAAAAAAGGGCACCTAATTTAAGATCAGCTGAACTAAAGAGATTGGTGTAGTGATCAATGTGCTGGCCCAGAAACTAGGAGCCTGTGAATTCTAGTCTTGCTTTAGGCGTGAAAGCTGGCTGGATGAGTTTGGGCCAATAATTTTCTCACAGCCCAGCCCACCTCACAGGATTGTTGTTGTGGAGAAAATAGAAGGAGGTAGGAGTTTATGTACTGTATTTTTCGGAATATAAGACGTACTTTTTTCCCTCCTTAAAAGAGGCTGAAAATTTGGGTGCATCTTATACTCCGAATGTAGCTTTTTCAAAGCTTTTTTTCAGCCCTAAGGAGGTGCTAGCGATCTTCCGGGCTTTGCCTGCTCCCTCCGACTCTCAGCTGTTCTTTAGAAGCTTTTTTTCAGTGAAGCTTTTGCCTACTCCCTCCGACTCTCAGCTGGAACTTTTCAGCTGGACTCTGAAGCTTTTTTTCAGCCCTAACAAGGTGCTAGCAAGTGAAGCGATCTCTGTGGTTTGCCTGCTTTTCTCATTGCTTCTCTCTCCAAAGATTCGTTGTGCCTTAGAAGCTGTTTTTTATCCTCAAGCAGGAGATAAAAAACCAGCAAACTAATGTGCTGAAGCTGACCAGACTAAGGACGCTAGCTAGATAAATACCTGGTAGGCAGATTTCCCCCCCCTATTTTTCTCCCCAAAAACTAAGCTGCATCTTATACTCCGAAAAATACGGTATGTTCATTTTTTTGAGTTAACTATACAGTATTAACGGCAGGACAACAATTTAATAAAATAAATAAAACTGACAGCAGTTCTTCAAAATTCAAGCCTCAGATCTTCCCTAAGTTATCTTGGAGCTGCTGGACATTAAATGGATATTTTTTTTCCACTGAAAACAAATACTATACTATTAATAGGAACTGTTTTTGCTTACAGAGAAATGGCAATACATTCTGCTAAAGCAGGAATCAATTAGTAGAATTTAAATGCTAAATCCAGATCCATTTAGGATTGGACTGGCTTTTTTTCCCTCTGTAGATTCAGTTCAGGCTTTTGATGCCTCCATGTTCTGACACATGGCATTAACGTAGGCATGCATTGGGATCAAGCAGGATCTCTCTTTAGGATGGCATTTATTTATGCTTGACATACTTGACATTCTGTACAATTTGGAACTTTACTACTGTGGTTAGCCAAGGAGTAATACAAAACAGAAAAACTATTGTGTAAATTACATAAAATAGTGCTCTGGCTTAAATTAAGGAAATGTCACACAATTATCAGTTCATGTGAGGAGAAGATGGAAAACGTGACCCATGTTTGAAAATGGTTAGCTTGTTAAATAAAATAAAGTAATATTTACCCGACAAAGTCCTTGTACACAGATGTCATTTGTGTCTGGGCCACAAGGGGTGCCATCAATAACCCTGTCCCTGAGCTGATAGTAAGCTGTATTTCCTGCCACTCTGCAGAAAAGCTTGCACCGGTCTTTCATTAAAACTGTCAAAAGCAAAATAATCCGGTTATTTTCTATCTGGTCTTTTCACTTTCTTTGGTAAGGAAGTTCTCTTGTCATTCATCCATAACATCCATGCTGTGTCCTTCTTGCGTCCATACTTGGGGGGGGGGAGTAATGTGACTGGGTAGGCGTGGCCAATTTTTTAATTTAACTTTTAAAACCATTTTTTCTACAACCTCTTTGGCGAAGAGGTTGTAAAAAAAATGCTTTCAAAAGGCTCTGATGATCCCAGCTGAGTTGCCTGATCAGCAGAGGCTTTTTTTCTTTTTAAAAAAGCCTCTGCCGATCAGGCAACTCAGCTGGGATCGTCAGAGGCATTTAAAAGAAAAAAAGTCTCTGCCGATCAGGCAACTCAGCTGGGATCATCAGAGGCTTTTTTTTTTTTTACTTTTAAAAGCATTTTTTTGGCCAAAGAGGTTGTAGAAAAAATGCTTTTAAAAGTAAAAAAAAAGCCTCTGATGATTGTGCGGCTCAGCTGGGTATTGGGGGGGGGCAGGGATTTTTGCTACTGGTTCTCCGAACCACCCGCATCCATCGCTACCGGATCTGGCGATCCAGTCCGAACCCCTGCTCCTATCCTTCTTTAAGAATAACAATAGCAATAGCACTTTGACTTATATACCGCTTAAGAGTGCTTTACAGCCCTCTCTAAATGGTTTACAGAGTCAGTTGCCTCCAACAATCTGGGTCCTCATTCTACCGACCTTGGAAGGATGGAAGGCTGAATCAACCTTGAGCCAGTCAGAATGGAACTCCTGGTAGTGGTTAGAGTTACTCTGTAATACTGCATTCTAACCTGAAGACCTGGCTCTGCCAATTGGCCTGGGAACCCAATGGGGGAGTACAACAGTGGCGGTAGCTACAAAATTGATAGCAAACCCCACCTCCCTCTTGCTCCCTGCTTCCCCACCTGCCCATCTTTTATTCTCAGGGGACAGGAGAGTTTGTCTTCCATGAAGAACAGGGACAAAAACAAAGACGAGGTAGGGCAGCCTAAGCAAAGGAGATTGTTTTAAGCTGTAGCCCATAAAACCTAAATAATATTCACATCTATAAACACTACACATTTTTCAACAGAGGGGGGGAGGGGATGAAAACGTGATGTTTCTTCTGATTTTTACACCAGAAGTGCTCAGTTCTACTTTTGATAAGATTTTCCCAATGTACTTTCAATGTTTATTCATTCAATTTCTTACTATTTACCTCAGTTGAGAAAACTTTTTTCACAGTGATTCATCTCATAACAATAGTTATGAGAGTCAGCCACAGAGCTACGAAGAACAAGCCTTACAATGGCATTTAGGAAGAGAACAGGTGGTTTTGGGCCCGTGATTCAAACAAATAAATCCTTCACAAATTTTCACTTCTAGTTGCCTTATTGATGTACTTACTTCCACTATACTTAGGAACCCAGCGCACATTAGGAGGTAGACCGTTAATGTTAAAATGCTTCCCATCAAAGACGGCGCATTGTTCATCACGGAAATCTTTCTTTAGTTTAGAACATGGTTCAGTGTTGCACGATTTAAATTTCATCCTGCGTCCCACACAGTATTTTCCACCATTTTTTGGCCTAAAATAAAATTTAAAAAGATATGTTTATGAATGACATTAAGAGCTTTCAAATTCTTTCAGATTCAGCTCAATTTTTGAGTTCATGATGCTTTTCTCAGGTTTTGTTTTCTTTCCATTACACCAAGACCTTATTGTGTCTGGATTAAGTTAGCTTTTATGTTTCCTTTTTAAACAGCTTTCTTTGAAAGTTACCAGGCTGGGAATACATGCTGCATCTTAGGATGCTACTTCTTGTGAATCAGGAATCAGTTGTCTCACAGTGACGAAACATATTTATAAAGACTAAGGAAATCGTATTCAAAGAAAAGGAAAGTGATAAATGAACTATTATCTTTAGAAGTAATTAAATCAGTCCAGTGTGTTTTAGTGAGCAAAGAAATGTATTTATTAAATAATGAAGGTCCTCTTAAATTTGAACTAAGAATTATAATTTCAATTTGCACATCAAGATAAACGTTTACAATCAAATGTAAAAGAAAATTAGGTTAGCATTAGCATTTCGCCTTAGATACGCTGATGAAGTGTGCAAAGGAAGAAAAGGGAAGGGAAGTGGAGAAAACTTGTAAACCACACTTATTCTCCACCTGAGGAAACAGTGGACCGAAATGGTTACATTTCATGATTTGTTCAGAGAGGAAGAGAAACCATTTTAGACATTAAACTGATTTCAATTTCAACATATATAACATAGAGAGACCAAATGCAATTTCCCAGTTATGTGGAACAGCCATCTAAAGACTAAAAACCAATATTTTCTTATTTGACTGGGACTGCGAAAGCAAGAGAATTTTCAAACCCATGAAAAGCCACACAATGAAGCTATACCCTATATTTAGTTTGACAGGTAAAACTAGTTTCTTTTCTATGGCTTTATTTTCAGGCAGAATTTTTTTTAAAAGAGTGCATGAATCTGATTGTGAATCATTAATGACACCTTCCAATACTTAGGAAAATAGATAAGGTGAAAATTATCAAGTGTGTGGCCAGTCTGGTGCAGTTGTGAAGGTGCTGGTCTAGAAACCAGGAGTCTGAGAGTTCTAGTACTGCCTTAGGCATGAAAGCCGAATGGGTGACTTTGGGCCAATAACTCTCTCTTAGCTCTTTCTACTCACCGGGTTGTTGTGGGGAAAATAGGAAGAGGAAGGAATATTAGATATGTTCAGTGCCTTGAGTTATTGATAAAACATAATTAAGGCAGGATATAAATCAATATGTAAATAAATCCAATCCAATCCATGCCCTGACTGAATATTTAACTTGCATGCTGTACTTCACATCTTTCTCATCACTTACGGAGAAATTATTTACTCAGGAAAATATGAAAGCTCAGTTTCTTAATGTTAACATATTTCAAGGGCAATACTCCATTGGATGTATTTCATTTCTTTTTCAAGGCTTAATAATGTAATAATACAGAGAGACCTCAATTTACAACCGTATAAACTTAGTTGCAAGTTGTTTTGTCATCCATATGTCCACCTTGCTCAACGACCACAATCCCAGCTCTCCCTATTGCAGTTGTTAAGGGTGCCTAAGGGGGAAGTTGTGGGAGGTCCAGTGCCCAACTCCAAGCAGAAACCTACTGGGGCTCAGAAGGATTTGGCCAGCCAGGTCCCAGCAGCATCTCGGCCTCCTCCTCCACCCTCTCTGTTGTGGTCCCCCAGCAGCCTGCGGAGCTGGCAGCGGAGTCGGACAGTGAGGAGTCTGGGGAGGAACATGGGCCAGTCCTGGAGTCTGGGGAAGACCCGGATGACGGCTCTGCATCAGAGGCAGAGATGGGGCCAGGGCCATCTGGGAGTGAGGCGTGGACTCCAGAGCCTCCAGAGTCGGACAGCAGAGAGGCAGAGGAACAGGAGGAGCCTGTTCTTAGTGCGCGCATGTGCAGAACTGTCAGAAGGCACGAACAGTTAAAACAAAGGGGACGACTTGGGAGTAAGGCCTGGAGATGATTGGCCCCTCCCATAAGGCTTAAAAGAGGAGCAAAGGCACATGGGCACTTTGCAGGAAAGCAACGTTGTTAATTCTGTTCCCAGTCGGCATCCCTGTTTGATTCTGGAATCCATGTGGCTTTGCCAAGTAGATCTTTGGCAAAGTGTCAAGGGAGATAAAGGTTGGTGATTATCCTGAAGGACTTCTCCCGAAGGACTTTTGCAACTAATTGGGACTCAGCTGTGAATGAACGTAATTGACAGCTGTTGCAATAAAAGAGGTTTTTTGGACTACTTGTGTGTTTTAATGACTCAGGAAACCTAGGTCACAACACACTTTGTCAAGGGACCCGGTCTTCTCCCTGTCCCACTTTGCCAACTGGCTAGACCCAGGGGCATGCAGGCCTTCTCTCTCTCTCCCACCCTCCCTCCCTCTCTCTTTCTCTCAAAGGAAGATGTCTTTGCTAGCTTTCTAGCTGAGCCTCGCATCAACTGAACATGCCTGTCAGCAGCTATAGGGAAAGGGAAAGATAAATGGACCTAGGAATAGGCAGCTGGTGCCTTCTGGCATGATGGGCAAAGAGAAGGTCCAGGCCTTTCGGGAGTGTCAGAGGGGAGATGGGAGCCTGCACATGGTTGGGCTTGCTCAATCAGTCGAGGCCTTCTAGCCTGTGAGAAATCTCCTAGGCAGCTGAGGACTCCTGCTCTACACTTTGGGGGAGGCGAAGTTGCAGTATTCCCATGGTCGTAAGGGTGGACCCATTGCCAAGCACCCAAATTTTGATCACATAGTTGTAGGGGCACTGCAACGTTGGACTGTTAGATACAGGTTTATTTAGCGCTATCATAATTTCAAAAGGTTATTCCACACCTATCTATGTAAGCTTCCAGAGGAAAAACAATGGAAAATTACATATGTGCCGTGCAGAGGTGGGCATCACATACTGTAACAACCGGTTCGCCCAGAACTGAAAATATGAGTGTGTGCGTGTGCATTTCGATGCCACACATGCACGCGGCATCGAAAAACCAGTGATTATATAGGACATGACACCGCCTGGTCAGAACTGCTGGTTCGCCCGAACCTGTCCGAACTGGCACCAGCCCACCACTGGTGCCGTGACATCACAACACAAGCCCGATTGTTACACACAGCCATCCTGATGTTAGACCCATTTACTGTATATAAACCATGCTATTTTCATTCTGCCCCTCTCACTTCCCCAAAGACAGTGATGCCTGGAGCAAATCACATAATTATATGGGATCTATTTCTAAAACAAACATACCTATGAGGTTTGTACACATAAACAATCACTCCTTAAGACTTTTAAACATGATACTTTTTCATTAAGATGGCATGCACTTTCTAATCTGATGACAGTAAACAATAATGGATTGTTTAATTTATCAATAATGGATTGTATAATTTACATGAAACTAGGTTTGAAGGCCACCTACAATAATTTCTGAAAGGAATACTATTCTCCACAGAATATTGTTTTTTTTAAACATCAGAGGTAATATATAATAATATTGTTTTTTTAATATCAGAGGTAACATAATATGAATACATATTCTGTAGTCATAAACTGTACAATGCAAGGTTTTTCTTCCAAGCTATCATTTACGAGCTTCAGAGTGCTATGATGGAACTTTCTGTCAATTGAGATGAATGGGTTAATACGTACTGCTTTGAAATGGGTTTCTTTTCCATTTCTGGCTCCTAAATATTCTGACAAAGTTATGAGACTTTGGAAAATTTAAGGCTTAATCTTGCTTTTCTTTGAAGCAAGCAAACCTGGATCTCAACCTAATCCCACTTCAAAAAGGCCTAGAAGACCTCTGTTGCATCATGACTTGTAAGTTGAGCTTTACAAATCAACTTCTTTAACATATTAATGTTTCATCATGAATCATTAACCAACAGATTATTATGCAAAAGTCTATTTTATGGTCTTGAAAAATTGAACAGCTCTACAGTTATCAATATAAGGTGCTGGTTCTAATGTGGTTAGAGAGAGTCAATCAAGAGCTTTTATATTCTTTTCTTAAAACTGACAAGTTTGAGTATCAAACATTCGGCTGGAAGTAGCCAGATATAAGACTTAACTACTGAAGCCAAAAAGAGGACTATCTCTATCTTGATGCTATTCCCTGCCTCTAACATCTACACACTGAATGAAGATATGTGCAAAAAATATTGGCTTTAGCAGAATGTATGTTAATGTGCCATATGACTGAGGTTTTGGCTATTACTAATTCTCCAGATTTTAATGCAACCCATCGCAACAATAATATGAAGAAGGGGGTAGCGGCTTGATCAAAATGCTGAGGAATTGAGAAATGAGCTGCTTTACCAGTTACATATCTTCATTCAAATTGTGATTGCAGATAAGTGAAGATGTGATAAACCATCAGTTTGTCATCTCTACTCCCAGAAGAGAGGAAGGGGTGGGGAGAAGCAAGCTGTTGATCCTAGTCCTTTATTCATGTTTTTTTTTTCAAAACTCAATTCCCAGGTGTTCAATAGAGGTTATTAGCAGATAAAGTATCTCTACATTGCAACCTTGCAATATAATCCTATACATGTATATCTGAAATTCAATGTCACCTAATCCTGTTGTTGCTTCCTTTTAATTAACCAAGCATGCATCTGTTTCAAAGTGTAACTTTGCAGTTGCAAAGATGAGAAACTATTTTAAAGGTACACAGTAGATTCCTTTCACACTGTATTCTCATAACCTTATATTTAACTGTGAGCCCAAAGAAATTTTAAAACATTTGTGAAGTCCTAAGAGCTCACTAAGTTTTATTGAGATAGCCTAGAGGTATTTCCTATATTAAACCTGGAATCACTTCCAGATAAAATAAAAAAATAGTACACTATATCGGAAATCAGTTTTATATTGTCAGGCATAGGGATTTTTGGAACTTCATGAATTCACTCTTTTCTGTATCCTTTTCTTAGTTTTGGCATAAGTTTCCACTGTCACTATAAACAATATTATTCATTTGAACACCTTTATTTGGGAATGGATGCTTTATTTCATACCCAAAAATGAACAAT